GCTATTGTCAACCAGTTGGTTCAAACCAGTTTGCCTGCATTCGGAACACCGATCGATCAGATATCACAAGACAGGATTCGTCTGCTATTTCTTCAGCTTATTCGCGCTGCTGTTGGTAGTGACATTGTCGCGTACAGCCCGGACTTGATAGTAACGACATACACAATTCTGACTGGCGACAACTCTTTCCGCAGATGGGAGAACGGCGACATATCTCGCCATGCTGACCCGATTGTTGCGTATTTCTTGGAAGATGAATATGTCCTTCGACCACTGCTGCTCAATGAAGCTCGGCTACGCTACCCCTACGAGATGACACCTTTCCTGAAGTTCTGTAGCGCATTGACCCGTGGCGACAAGACGATGCAGAATGGCTTGCCTACATTCATCGAAAAGCTTGGAAACCACAATCGACTTATGCAACAACTTCCAGATGGGTTTAGGGACTATGCGTTGACGCGCGAGGAGGAGAACGCCAACTGGGTCGAACTCACGGGCAACCTTCCGCTTTTCTCGTCTGGAGTATCTTCGAGCTTCCGTGGACAACGTCGATTGCTGACCTCTGGCACTTCGACACAGTCTGATGGACTATCTGGAATACCTGCCGGGACAGAAGGAATCATCGTTGATGACAATGCTTCCCCATACGTGGCGGTTTGGCATCATCAGCACTCTACGTTGTCATATTTAGTCGAACTTCTCTCCACATACCCTGTAGGGAGCACCAAGGTTGAGACTGCCACGCAGCAGCCTGCCTCTCGCGAAAGTGTCATCGAGATCATCGGACTCTTCGCTGATTTGATGCATTCTTCTCTACATGCTTCTGAGGGCGTTTGTTCGACTGAGCTCCTGGAGGCGATTGGCATCGGTGCTGAGGGCAGCCAGGATACCGTCAATCTCGTGCTCGCCATCTTCGAGGAGGAGCTCCTGCACCTCTGCCAGGAGCCAAGCAACGAGGCGTGTTTAGAGCTGTTGGTCAACTGCACTCACTTTTTAGAGGCTTTGATTATTGTTTCTCCACACAGAGTATGGCCCTGGCTCGCCAGGAGTAGATTGCTCGAAGGCGACGGAAATGGCAGCTTAGCGACTATCCTCATTGGTACTGAAATGGTTCTAGGACGATATGACTTCCTTATTGGCTGTATCCGACTCTACAAGGGTCTCATTAAAGATGCAGTCGAGCGATCAGTCTCGCGCAAAGTCCCAACGAGAGCACTCAGCCGCTTCAATGCTGCTGCTCCTTCAGAAAGCGGAACCTCGGATAAGATCATGAGCACAATACTCTTTACATTCGGTCGAACCCTTGCTAGCATATACGAGAACTCGTTGAACTGGAAATATTCTCATCCCAATCATCGGCCCGAGATCAACATCGCCATCTGCGAAGTTTTCACGACGATATTAAACCTCGCGTACAGCGTAGACGACGAACCGAAACTATCTGCTAAGCTCGCCAAATCCATCGCGCCTATCGCCGAGTACATCACGCAGCTATACCTTACACAGGCTGGCGCAGATCTTCCGACAAACCCGCTGATGACCTCCCTGATCACTGGGGTCAGTCCCAGCGACACCACGTTGCTCACGACTTCGAGTGCATTGTGGATGCTACAGACGCAGACTACTCTGGCTTTCGCTGACATCCTTGTCCGGGTTGCCGTACTCTTGAACAAACCCTGGACACACTTGGAGCAACAACTCTTTAAAGCTACGCCATTACTGGCACGACTGTACGCAACCAGTGACAAATGGAAGTCGCAGGTCGTGCTGCTGTTGGAAGCTCTTGTTCGTGGTGCCGTCCGTGTCGCCGGACAAGATGACTCAACGATGACAGACGGAGACCTTAAGCAGTCTGTACGGAAACAGACTGAGCAGCAAGAACCGCCCTCACTACTCGGTCATCTCGGACCACGGACTGCGAAGAACTTCTTGAGCGTACTCTCGCAGCTCGATGAGCCTTTACAAATAGTGGACATTCAGACCAACGTCTGGAACTTGCTTTCAGCCGTAGTAACATGCAAACAGCAGTGGTTCTCCTTATATCTGCTTACTGGTAGCACGCCTCGCGAGTCCATTCGTTCCAAGAAAGACGCGACTCACGATTCAAGGAACAAAGCCCTACTTACGCGAGCGCTCGACGCACTCTCAAGCATGACTCTACCAGACCAAGAAGCGGGTGGCCTTTCATGGCCTTTATACACCGCTATGCTCGAGTTTGTCTCGTCAGCGCAAAACAATTGGTCATGGGCAATGGGTGACCTCCGACAACGCAAGGACCTGATCCAGAAGCTGCTCGCCTTCATGAAGTGGATGGCAAAGCAGCCCAAGCAACCGAAGATGAGCAACAACAACGAGACCCTCGAACGCTCATTCCAAAACAGGTTCGCATCGTTAGCCTGCGAAGTCATCGCCATGTACCTGCACCACTCACGGCAAGTGGGCGATATCACCGTGCTCAAAGATGTTGTGCCAAGCCTGACGTACTTGGAAGATACTGCTTTGGATCTACCGTCCTACAGTACTTCCCTGCATGGTTATCTTAAGCAAAACCTGGAGAAACAATACCCTGGTGTCACGCTATGCAACATCAAGCGAACCACACTGTACCCAGAGACCTTCGGGCGGGCATTCTTCTACGACATCGACCTTGCCCAGCGGCTTTTGGGATTCAATAGCAAGTGGACAGGTCCCAGAGAAGGCACTGGTTTCGCAGCTGAAGTTGAGAAGGCCAACTACAACCTCGGCCTGGTTGAATCTCAGGTTCTACTACTTCAAGGCTGGAAGCTGCTGGCTCTGGAGTTGAGCCAAGTCGTAGCCAAGGACGAGCGTATAGTCAAGGTGCTCGTTGGCGTCATCCACAAGTGCATGGTCGCCAACGAACAATCGAATCTCCCGGAAGCATTGTTTGGCCAGCTCATGGTTCTGCGAGCAGATCTTGCCTTTGCACTGTTGAAGAAGCTGGTTGAGGCAAAGGTACGAACGAATGAGGCACGTCAATTACTCGCTCCAGTGTGGAACGCGATTCGTACCTCCACGCCTGACTTCGAGAACGTATTCTCGACCGACGCGGTGCACTACTACCGATCCTTGCTACGAATCCTCTACCTTGCCCTTCACTTCCATCTTATCGAAGATACAGATACTTCCGATGACGCATCCTTCCGCTCTTCCTTCCGTGGCACTATGCCTACAAGCCACAACAAATACGCCGAGCCCATCTCAACCCAGCTCCTTGAGATCCTTTCCGACACGGTTGCGAAGGGCTTCCGCAGCCTTGCCAACCAACTTCACGCTGAACCTACATCCGTCTCGCCATCGGACTTTGCCCTTCTCACTGCACTCCTCCAACGCATCATTGCGATACCAGAGATGTCAAAGTGGCAACAACAGGCAGCTCTCCTCTTCGCCAACAGCAACACCGTGCGCTACGCCACCAGCCTCTTCTCATGGGCTGACCGTCTAACGATATCCCACAATGGCATCGACGACCCCATCTACGGTGAACTCAGCGTACTGTTTCTGCTCTCCCTGTCAAGCATCCAGGCTTTGGCAGAAACCATGGCTGTAGAAGGCATACTCAGTCAACTCAACACCGCAAACATCATGAACTACTACCGTCGCGTCAACGGCATGGGTCCTTTCGACAATCCATCACGCATGTACAGTATCTGGACAAAAGGCATCCTACCGCTCTGCCTCAACCTTTTGCTTTCAGTCGGCCCGCCCATTGCAGCGGAAATCTCATCTTTCTTGAACCAGTTCCCAGAACAACTCGCCCGCTCGGCTCTAAGCATAAATTCAAATCCCTCGTCCCGCACCTCGGCTACCCAGAAGATTACGCTTGCCGTCGCTTCGGAAGTGCACTCTTTGTCGCTCATATCCAGTATTCTGGAAAACGTCCGCAAGCAAGGCCCTAAACTGGGTATTCAGGCAAACGACGTTGCACTCCTAGACTGGGATAAGGAAAACATCAAGGAAGATGTCGAGAGCTGGTTGAACCGTAAGAGCGCGCTGCGTGAACGCATTGTAGCGATCGATGAGCGGGAGTTGGAGATGCTGAGCAGCAGGAAGGGCCAGGGTGAGGATGCGTTAAGTGAGCTTGAGAAGAGAGTGTTTGGCGAACTGGAAGACGCGGGAAAATGTTTGGGTGTGGGTAACGGAAATGGAAATGGGAATGGGAAGAAATAGATGATGTGGTGGAACTGCTAGGATGACATTTGAAAAGCGCTGGAGTTTAGGAGCGTTTTTGGATTAGTTGCGAGGTGCTATGTGCTTGGACGTTAGATCTTGTGGGTGGTAGTGTATTTCTAATGTAACTCTTTTGACTCATGTTTGCTTGGTGGTATGGTTCATATTGTGCGGCTCCCCAGGTTCGTCAGACTAGCGTATCAGCAAAGTTCTGCTTCCGCCTTCCTTCCATGTCGTCTCACGTCGAGAACCTTCCCAAACAGGTAACTGAAGAAAGACCATAGATTGCAGCAACTTTCTATATCCCACATGCTACCCCTCTGCCCCGTGGGCATACCAATATAGTCCCAATCAGGCAAGTTCCTCTCAAAGGTGTAGATCACAGCAACTCTCACAAGATACCTATTAGCTACGCTGTAGTCTGAACTTGTTATGAAGTTTGTAGGCTGTTTACTATGTTCTCCCGAATACGCAGGTTTGAAATTCTGCGTGGGTGTGGATTGTAGCAACTTTCAAGATCGCCCAGCCCCTGGTAAAGCAAAAAGTGATCTCTTCAAGCAACGCATTCACAGACGGGGATGGGAGAGCATACGGTCAATTATACGTATTGATCCGAGATTACTAGCAGACAACGAACGTGGTACACAAGCCATACTGCTGGCACGTAGGTGATAGTGTGCCCTTGTACATACACCATGCAGACACCGAGTATGTTTCCTGCTAACGTGCCTAATCGCGCCCGGATGTGTTTTAAATTGTATGCGATGATGGAATGTTCGCATGACATTCCAAACCACATGGCCGTAGTATTCCTACACATCCACCACAGACCAGCCGGATTCTGCGTCCGTAAGTTGGGGGGTAACGCCACCAGCCAGGTCGACGAAACCGCTGTCTTCAGTACCAGGCTCGGAGTCAGACTCAGTATCGATGTCACTACCATAATCAGACTCCACGTCATATTTCATGACTTGCAGCCTCGTCACCTCCTTCAGCACTTCTTGGAGCATCTTTTCATGAGTCTTGAAATCCTCCGTAAGTGATGTGATGGGAGACACTGGACGACGGTGCGATTTGAAGGATTGATTCCTTCGATGGTGGTTAGATGAATCAGACTGCATTTCTGTCCCTGTAGGTTGACATTCAGTGATTTTGGGTTCGGGAGCCTCAGTGTTCATGACAGCCGCGGAAGAAAGCTCTGAACGATGATCCTCTCCGTCAGGTAGTTCGCAGCCTCGCGTGATCAGATAGAGCTCCTTGACCAGTCTGCAGAATTGAAAGATGTCCGGAAGCCATGAGTTGGGTGCAATGAAGAACCGCAGAAGCATGCTGAAGCCCGAAAATAAAGAGAAGAGACCAAAAACAAGCACCGATACTTTGCATCCGAGGTGCTCTGAGTACTTGATGTATAGGCGATCAACCAAGGTCAGAGCAAGACCGAAGCCGATAGTCTTGATTGTGTACTTGTCTCTTGCATTTGTTAAGCCGAGGAATTGAGTGAGCTCAGTTGCGGCTTTCTTGGTAGCGGCCATGTACGAAGCCACACCGACCAGGGCCGCCATTTCGATCCCTAAGGAAGCTAAGCTCACGAAGGTCAGAACTTTCTCCAAGTACCGTGTAAACGATAGACAGTTTTCAAGATTGGCCTTCAAGGCTGCCAATTTCCTAAGCCGGCATTCAAGTTTCGCAATGGCCTTTGCGCGACCCGACAAAGCGAACGTTTCATCCGAGGATACGGGCAGGTAAACAAGGCGACATGGCTGGGAGGACTCGCAGTGCAGGGCGAATCCAAATGGCACTTTGGAAAGGGATCGGGTTGACGAGGACGTATCGCCAGTATCCGTACCGTCAGAAACATGTACAGTGGGGGTGGAGGTGGAGCCATTTATGAGGTAGATACCGCCGAAGAAGCGATTCCAGATCGAACGGGTCTTCAGTCTCACGACCTCTAGTGCTTCCCCGAGTATACGACGGGAGCGATATCGTACATTTGCCCAGGGCCTGAGCACAGCTTGTTGTGGGGTTGCATCATGTATCACCACCTGTGGCGTGTACTGAAGTCTACCACAACTACCCATTGTCCAGTACATGATCCGCGCACGCATATGAGGGTCCTGAAAGCCAAGCCCGAAGGATTCATCATTGACCTTCTTCAGACCACGAATGAGACAGTCTTCGTGAGTCTCCATGAAGCCACGGCTCAGCTGGCTAGAGAGAAGTCTATCCAAGCGACCGTACAATATTTGCTCTTCGTGCATGGTGGCTGACTGCAGATTGAATTCGTCTACCACTCGGTTAATTCGAGGTGTTATGAAGTTATCGATGCTGAAGAATCCGGTGGCGAGGGAGAGTATCGCGGAGGTGAGGTACATGAGGAACAACCCCAGCAGTAGCATGCGCGAGTTGGCGAGTAGAAGCCTGATTTTGTATGGAATCCTTGCCTTGGTTGGTTCCGATGTAGCGCGTTGACCGTCTTGTGAAAACTGGCCTCCAGCAGGCGTAATGCTCAGCTCTGCTTGAGATGTCATGTCCATGGTGATCACTGTGGTGGAAAGCACCCTAGCGTTTGCTGAGCCTTGAGCTTCGTCGCGGGCGACTTCCATGTTGCAGGTGTTGCGATATTGTGTTTATATGTTGGTAAGTGCCGAACTCTTGGGGTTTTATTTAAAAAGCCTGTGATTAGGGGTCTGGTTCGGCCATTCATGGGTCTGAATCAGCGTGTGTGGAGAAGGTACCACTGATGAGGCCGCAAGGCACCAGTGACTGCACGTGCTGGATCAGGCAGCACTTGAGTGAAACGCGGTCAACCAGACGTCGATCGTGATGCGAAAGTAGGACAGTGAGTAGTGATTTCAGGTCAGTCTTGATGAGTACATGCAGGAGATGGCGATGGAAGCTCGGTGATATTCTGTTGTCTGGTGAAGACTGAAAGGCGCGATGCGGTCTGCATGACGGCAGGGTCCGCCTTCCGCTGTCGGAATACCAAGTTGACGCGATAAAATATGAGACTGTGTTCGAATATGCCTAGTCGTATTTCTGATTTAACATGCTAGACGTTAGAGATCCAAGATTCAATGATGTTATATACAGTATTATGACTACTTACTACTACTTCTTCCTCTGTGCCCTTTTGCGTGGCGGTTGCCCGATATCCTCTATGTCTATCGTACCCTCCACATCTTCAGCTTTGATCTCACCAACATCAGCAACCACCGTCTCTTCCTTCACTGCTGCCTCTTCGTCGCCATTGGGTGCCTCGACTTTCACAACGGCTTCTTCTTTCTTCACTTTCGTCTTCTTAGCTACCACTACTGAGGGACATAGGCCTCTATCTGCCAACTTGCAGCCACCACACTTTCTGCCTACAGGTAAGCATATAGTCTGTCCAAAGCCCACAAGCAGATTGTTTATGTCATGCCACTTGTCTTTTGGCAGCCATGACTCCAGAGCGGCACGTGTTTGTTCTGGATTTTGAGTCTTATGCCAGCCCCATAAGTTGGTAATGCGGTGAACGTGGACGTCGACTCCAATACCTTCATGCCGGCCCCAGGCGGCACTCAAAGTGAGGTATCCCATCTTAGGCCCGACACCAGGTAGTGACACAAGTCCCTCGATTGTGTCTGGAATATCGCTATTCCACTTGTCTCGTAGAATCTCCGCAGTTTGCTTGATGTACTTGGTCTTGAGGTTGTGGAAACCCACTTTGTTGATGAAAGCGTTGAGCGCAGGCGGCTCTAGTGCGAGGACAGATTCAAGATTGAAACCCTGGTTATGTTAGCCGTGGAAAGCAGTCGCCTTTGGAATTAACCCACCCCAGGCATTTTCTCCTGCATGCCTCGCATGACGGGCGCTGTGACGGTGTCTTTCGTCTGACTACTCAACATCAAGGCTATAAGTGTCTGAAACCGTCGATCTCGAGGAGACCTGTTCTTCTCCGCCAGGCTCTCGCACCCCATAGTGTCCACCGGCGCGACATTCTCATTCCGCATTTCTCTCGTCAGGGTGTATATCTCCTCCCAATTGGGTGGCGGCTCCATCTTTACAGACCCATCGTTGCCCTTGATCTTCTTCGCAGGCGCGCGTCGGGCTTTTTTGACCTTTTCGCTTTTCTTCGGCGATGCGATTCCAGCGATCGTTGTTTCCTCTACCTCCTGCTTCACGACGATAGGAGTATCTTGACCCCTTTTCCTCTTCATAGGCACTCGTCGCGCCTCTCCCTCGGAGGCTGAGTCTGCTGGTACCGAGCTTAGCTCTGAACTTGCCCTAGCATTCTCGTCGCTGCCTGTCTCTCGTTTGATAGGGGTCTGCGCATTGGTCGCGCTTCGGGTCTGGCGTAGCGCTCGTTGGGTGCGGCTTGCGGCGACGATACGGGACGTGTCGCGAGACACTCGTGAAGTCCGCATTGGAAGGTCAATTTAACGATAGAAAACTGTGTGAATGGCGAGAGGTCCTTGTGATAGACTCTGATACGGAGCTCCGCGAGCTGATGCGCGGCGCATAGTAATGACGATGACGAGGACGCGACTCAGCAAATAGCCAATGAGCGCCTATCGATTTCATGGGTCTAACGCGACTGCACGTGAAGCGTCACGTATTGATGACGTCAGCGAAGACTCGATCAGAATTTCGATTGGAAATACAGTTGCTGCAATCAACGACATTACAATTTACCTATTTCGGAAGAACGTCATCTGAATACACGTGAGACAGCTGGTGGAAATGTCAACTCCACTTTCTCTGAGTCCTACACTACTTGATAAGTGGTGGCCGTTTCTTCTATCATGCTAGAACAGATGTATTACTCGCTTCCATGTACACTATGGGGCTCTTGCAGCCTCAGAACGTTTGATCATCAAGCTTCTATCCAGTGAAAATCCCGTTTGCTGAATAACTAAGATTCACACGTGAAGGTTTACGCTGAACGGATGGCTCGTGCTGAATGCAAGCTAATTTGGTACGTGCGGAGACGTCACGACTCCATGGAGCTATACCAGCCGCGGCTCACACCTTCTGTCACCCATGGATTGATCTTTCACCCAATATAAGATTACACACAACAGGCTCTCTGAGTACGGCGCAAGGTCTGTGCTACCAATCACCCACACTGCACAACTGAAAATGCTACGCGAGCAAATGAAAGAGGTGGACCTTCTGATTCTGGGCGCTGGATGGACGTCCAATTTTTTGATACCTGAACTAGAGGACACCGACATAAGCTATGCCGCAACCACGACTACTGGAAGAGATAACACGATACCATTCAAGTTCGACCCCAGTTCCGGCGATGCGGAACCATATAAGCGCCTTCCCGCGGCGCAAACCGTGATCATCACGTTCCCGCTGGTGGGACATACGCAGTCGAAGACCATCGTCGGCCTTTACCGCTCCGTTCACGGCGCAAAAAACAACTGGGTGCAGCTAGGCTCTACAGGCATCTTCAATAAGTTACCCGATGGCTGGAGCGATGATAATGCGCCGTATGACAAAGAAGACAAGCGAGCGATCGCGGAAGACGAATTACTCTCGCTTCACGGTTGTGTGCTAAACCTATGTGGCCTATACGGAGGCGAACGCGTGCCCGCTAGGTGGCTCCCTCGCATAGTTCAGTCGAAAGACGATGTGCGGAAGCGAGGAGCCGTGCATTTCATCCACGGTGAGGATGTTGCGCGCGCCATTATTGCAACTCATCGGAAGTTTACCCCGGGGAAGCGATGGATTGTTGCTGACCTGCGCGTCTACGACTGGTACGATCTCATCATGAGCTTCAGCGCTATGGTCGAATCGTCCATGACCAAAGAGGAGGCGGAGACACGTCAGGAATATGGCAAATGGGTGGGAGAACTCATGGAGGAAGAGGGAATTCGCGCTCTGCCACGTGATGTGCATACCTTGGGCAGGAAGTTGGACTCTAGGGGCTTCTGGCATTACCATGGGCTCTGGCCTCGTCACAAGCGGCTGGCATAGTGGATCCATTACTCGAGCAATCCAATGGAGTCACATTTCTGCGATGCTGACTAGGACGAGACTTTTCGATTCGATTGGTCTGACATTACGGTCACGTTTTCTGGACAGCCATAAATCTGGTATAGGCGAAGAGTACCACAGTTCAATGGATAGTCTCCATGGTCTCCGCTGACCTCAACACGATTGTATGGCTGATTTCTAGTTTTGATTACCCATCCATAACATTTTTCATGAGATCAATTTACTCAGATGAACCAGGTTTACAGTGTTCCACATTCCCAATCTTCTCGTCGCTCTGTATAAAACTTCTGCTCAATCTGTGTCTTTCTTCTTTTCTGTTCAGTTCAGATCACATTCTAGTCATCGACACAAGTTTTGGAAGTATTTTTGACTACCCATTTCTCATCCTAGATATTCTATTCCAACATCGTTCACCCACACAACGACAAATCCCCTCTACTTTCACCAATATGTCAACCAACACTTTCGCAACACAGAGCGACATGGTACAACGAATCAACATCGGCGGCCTAAGGTTACCTACCGACCAAGAACGAGCAAGAATATCTCAGCTTTCTGCTCGTCCGCAGCTCATAAGTATACAGCAGTTACCCATTCAAACCAGCTTCGGATCTTACGGTAGTTACCCTTCTCCGGCTGCGTTCCAACAACAGCCTTTCTTTCCTTCTCCCGGCGTCGCTGCTACTAATTGCTTTCCTCCTGGTGCCTTCCCCCACCAGCAACAACCTTACAACCTGGGTAGGTCACAACCCGCATTCTCTCCTGGCGTCGCTGCTTTCAGTGGCTTCCCTGCTGGTGTCTTCGCCAACCAGCAGCCGCAATATCACACTCCGGGTGGGCCACAACCCGTGTATGCTCCTGGCGTCGCTGCTACTAACTGCTTTCTTACTGGTGCCTCCCCCCATCAGCTACAATATTTTCCCCAGGCTCAGACCTATGGAGGTCAGTATAGCCAGAATGCCTTCGCGGCACCGGTGCAGGGTCCTTGGGCGGCTCAGAATGTTGCGAGTACCGCCGCGCCGCCTGCTCAGCAGGAAGAACAGTATTTTGATCTCACCAGAGATGACGAAGAAGAGGTGCGAGCACCCACACTAGCATCAGCATGCCCTGTTGTCCCCGCCTCGGCCGCCCAAGACATAGGTCTCCTCACCCCTGCGGATACACCCTCCTCACTAGAGGCCCTCTCCGTCCCCGAGGCACCCTGCCACCTCGGCGAACGAGTCAAACACCTCCAGTTGACCATCAGAGAAAGCTACGAACCATGCGCCTTCCGCCTTTTCCGCAGCTTCATGTTCATGAACATAAAACAGCAGCGCGAGTACTGCAGCTTGTTTTGGCCCTCGAACGAAGAGGCTTATGAAGAGATCCTTCGAGCCTCCAAACTCTCTCTGGATTTCTCGACCATATACTATTTGCGCCTTTCGTTAACATCGAAGCTGAAAGAGGCCAAGAGCGAAGAAGAGCGCGAGAAGTTGGAAGAAGAAAATGAGGCCATTTGCGCTGAGATGGAGAGAACTTGCAAAGCCAAATTGCAAGATAGGAGGGATGAAGAGAATTTGAGCAATCTCCACCAGGCTGTTACCACTACCAAGGGTAAGAAGAGCAAGGCCTCGAGGGCAGCACAACTAGAGGTGTGGAATGAGGAAAATGTAAGAGTGCAGGAAGCAAAGCAGGAGAGGTGGGCGAAGCTGGATGGCCAGCAAACCTCAACTTCGCTTGCTGGCCAAAAGAGGAAGCAAAGGGTTCAAGAGGAGCCTAACCCTGCTCCGAAGAGGGGGAGACCTCCAAAGGTCAGGGCTGCAGAGGACGTGGCTGTGGTGAAGGAGAAGAAGAATCGTGGGAGGCCTCGGAAGAGCCCTGTGGTTCAAGAACCGACTCCTGAGCACGCCATCGATGAAGCGGAGGATGATGGGGCGTTGGAAGCAGCACTGTATGCTGGCTTGTGCGAGGATGTCGTTGGAGAGGAGGAGGATGGGTCGTCTGAAGCAGCTCCGCAAACATGGCTCGCCGCTGATGACAGTGACGTTGTCGATGAGAGTGCTGAGGTGGAGACTTCTGGACGAGTACAAATGCACGATGAAGATGATCGGGTTGCCGGAGCCGTCGCCGAGGACCGACCGGAGGAGGTTCGTGTGGATGAGAGTGCTGCTGTAATCGCCAGCTCGTCTCAAGAGCATGGACAAGAGGAAGAGGGCTGTGACGAAGACTCTCTCTTCGGAGACTCTCTTTTCGAAGACTTTGAGCTTGGAAACCTCCTCGATACGGGGGCTGCGAATGATATTGGGGCTACGCTAGACGGCATGTTCTTCTAGTCATGCATATGGTATGGGTAGTTCTAAATATAATGCTACCAAGGGCCCCTAACTCTTAAACTCCACGCTATGCGAACGTACTTGAAAATGCCATAAAGGCGAATACAAAAGGTAATAAGAGAAATCAAACCAACTGGCCTCATGTTGCATCCGGTCGATGGCATCACGGGTGCTGGCCCTATACGTGAGCCAGAGCGGGCAACGAAACAACCTGCTTAAACCTCAATATTCTCGAAGGGATCCCGGTCTGGCGGCAGTCCCCTGTAAATGACGCTGCCGCCTGCGTCTAGCCTTGCATTCACACTAGTGATCCATACACGCTTCGTGAATGCACTAGTCCTCTGAATCTCGTCCTTAGCGACACCCAGGTCGTCATGCGGAATCCAGACGGCGGGCTGGATAGCGCGTGTCGCCGGATGCTGGAAGGAGCGTTTGATAAGCTTTTGGCGAGCCTCAGGCTCGATGTCAGCGAGCTCGTCGTCTACTTCATCGAAAAGATTGCCAGCGGGCAGGACCTGTGCTTCAACATCGCGGATGGGTTTTGCAACATCGTCGAGACCTTTCTTGAGTGTACTGGTAATCATATCTAGAGGATCCTTGCGCTTGTGGTGCTGCTTGTGGTGGGATTGTGAGCGCGAGTTAGAGCTACGGCGGGAGCGATCTGCCCAACTGGTGTTGCGACCGCGGTTGCCGGGTCGAGGTGATTGCCCATGGCCAGCAGATTGCATGTTACCGTCCAAATTGCTCAGCTCATAAGATCCTGGACCATAGGATGATTCGCGTTGTTTCCTTTCCTCAATGCGGTTTTGCTCGTCCAGGTGTGCTTGCTCGCGCGCTTCGGCCGTCTGCGCTGCATCTTGTTGAGCAGTGAGAGATTGATGCTCGTCATCGCGTTCCCATTTGCTGGCCTGTGCTCGCTGCCACTCCTCGTCTCGAAGGACCGCTTCATCTTCGAATGTGATTGGCAGGTATGTGAAAAGAGGCCCGAACGCCCTGTTCAGTACGACTTGGAAGAGGACAGTAAAGATGCCCATGATAATCATGATAATACCCTGAGGGAAACAAGATTGGTTTCCTTTATCGTCTTCTTGTAGGAAGAACAAGCCAACCATACAAAGCTCGAGGAAATACAACCCGGTGAACAGCTGGTTGACAGCTTTCGGAAAGATGAGACCGTTGGTTTCGGCCTTAGCGTAACTAACATAGATCATTTGGTAGCGGTATGTGAACCAGAAGAGGCAGAAAGTGATCAACATCATGATCAGGATCAAGGGAGCGACGACGGAATAGATGAGACCTGCGCATTGTTAGCTTTAACGTGCATTATCACAAAGGACTTTTACTTACCAATGGCGGCAAAATTGGTGTAAACAGGGATCATAGTTCCCCAATTAATACCAGGTCTTTGCAACACCCTTGAAACCTTCTCTCGGGGCGTTGTGTCGAGAAAGCGGAGGAATATGATGACAACGACAGCACCGATCTGTAGCAAAGTACCAGAACTGATACTGAGAGCTTGCAGAATCATGTAAGAGAAGAAGTAGTTAGCGGCCTTGGGGAGGTTCTGCGCCAGTGTCAATGGGACACTAAGAGGATCGTTGATCAGTTTGTCAATCGTCGAGGTGATACCTGTCGAGATCGATACTACCAGAAACAACTGGACAAAGACGAAGGCGAAATAGAAGTTTTGGACGAGCAATTCGCGTTCGCCTGATGTCGTCGTACCGGTAAGACCAGCGCAGAAGCGCAGGACCAGAGGCAGCACAGCAAAGAGAATGGCCAAGAAAGCTGGTGGCAACACACCCTGTATCAAACTCACTACCCAGTCGGGAAGCTTGTTGATGAAGCCTAGCCATGGCAAGGTCTTGGTCAGACTGTCAATTTGGGACAAAGCTCCTGTAAAACTGACGGGGATACCCCAGAAGATGATAAGTCCTACAATGAGCAGAATGATTCCGAACATGCGCAAGTAACGTTCCCACCACTTCATAGTCAAATTGTCCCAGAGCACGTAATTGGGGTTGACCTCTACAGTTCTCGGGTTCATTTGCCTTGGGATGTGATGGCTCAATGACTGACAGGCCATGTGTGCCGCAACCTGATGGTTGAATTGGATAAAGGCAGAATTCATCAGCGGGAAGCGTTCTGGGTGAGCCTGATCGTCCGCGATCTCAGCGTTGAGCCGAGCGAGCTCCTTTCGGCAATGATAGATGGTGTCAACCTTCTTGCCGATCAACGGCAAGGCCGGCCACCAAGACCAACTGAAGATCGGTAGTCGCATCGTTTCTCTGTCCTTTGGCCTAAGGTACTTTCTCCAGAGAGCATCCTCGCCATCCTCTTCCATGGACTCGTCGTACAGTCCTGTAAGATCATACTTGATTTTACTAGGGTCCTTGAGCTCTAGTGGCAGCTCTTCTCCTGGCTTCTCGAATGGCTTAGGGCTTATAAAATCACCCTGACCAACGTATACGGCCTTTAGCTTATTGAAAGGGTGCTTCCATCCAGGCGTAATAGATTTCCTCTCGGGCTCGGTTGTAGCTGCAGGCGCTTTCAGATCTGTCTGGGGAGAGTTCGGCTCGGTGATGGTGCCATCAGAGGCATAAGTTTCCTTGCTGGCCAAAGGCGTATGCGTGTCAGTACTAGCCCCCCTGTGGTGAAAGTCGGCAGAGGTTGGCGATGATCCTGGAACTTCGTCGGCACCGTCGAGGCTCGCCTGTGCTTGCTCTTGTGTCTGTGCCTGGCCAGCCTGGCGGGGCTTTCCGCCAAACACACCGCGCATTCCACCGTAGACCTTTTTGTTGAAACGATCGACACCATGGCCGACATCACGGAAACCTTCACCGACGGCGTGCATGCCTTCTCCCAAAAATTGCATTGGCACAATGCCGCGCTTCCGATCGGGTGAGGTTGACCGTGAGGAAGAGGAAGACGACGAGGGAGACTGCTCGAGAACCTTTTGGAGTTGTTGCTCGATCTCGTGGGGGTTACCAGCATCCACACCTTGCTCGTGAGTCTCCTGATTGATCGCATGATTCTCCATAGCTATGTCGTGCTTCTTCTCTTTTCTGGACTTTTTCTTTCCAGCCTCCTTCGCTGCCTTTTCCTCCATCTTCCTGTGCTTCTTGGTGCACGCTATTATAAGATTTGTTTCGGCAGATTCGAGGGTCCTTGCAATCTTGGTTCGATCGTTGACTTTATCCATTAGGTCGTCGTAGTTGCGGTTTATCCAGATATCCTTGATACCACCGGGAAAGACATCGTAGAGGGCATCGAGAGCTGGGGCGGTAAGCCATTTCTGAGGAATGCTTTGCACCAAAATAGTGGTGGCAGATGCTCGAATACGATGTTCTGGTCTGGTGAGGACAGTCTGCCTAAGGCGTACAAACTGCCTGAGCGCCAAGTAGAAATTGAAGCACGCCCAGCATATGACGCCTACAGCGATGATACAGTGTGCCCATAAGCGATGCCTCTTGTCTGCAAAGGCTACATTGGGCCAAGCGAACGAGTCTAAACCAGAGACTCCGGGCTCGTCGCCCTTGCGATTTATCGGTAGCAGGATAGGTAGGATGATGATAGCCATAGGGATGAATATGCGTAGCAGGAGCTGCAGGTATTGGAGGAAAAGGTAGCCATCGACGCCGGCAATACGGATGAGTTCTTTGTCGCTAATCGTAAAGACATTTCGAAAGGACTCGATAGCGGTCGTGGGGGCTGCGATACGCTTTGCGACGGGTACGAAGGCGGTCTTGTAGTAGTAGATTTTGTGGAACAGACTCTGTCGCGCGGCCGCTTTGTCTTCCTGGTCGCCATCGACAGGCTTCTTCTTGCCCGTTCCCTTGTGAAACTTCCAATTGCCACTGAGGACCAAGAAGAAACCAATCTGAACGCCGAAAATGATGGCTGCAGTTGACAGCGACGCGGCGAAATTCTCGATGCTCTGATTTGACCTTAGCTGCGCGCCGCCGGCGTCGTTCGTCGACGTTGCGGTCGTCGAGGTCGTCGAGGACGTTGAGGCTTCGGACATGGTTCAGAGTGGTGGTGGTCGTGGTGGAGGGTCGCGTATGTGGTAAAGCTGCGAATCGGAACCCCTGTCTTAACCTCTCGTTGCCATGGAAGAAGAGTAGCGAGGAGGCGCTACCGTTTGCGGTTGTAATATAAAGGAAACAATATTAGTAGGGTAGTAGACAGCAAAGAGGCAGTGAATCAACACAACGAAGAGAAGGCGCGAAGTGCTATCATTATTGATTCACAGGTGACTAGGGTGTCGACGTGTTTCAAGCCTTGCATTCCCTGATGCGCGGTCTGTCGGGGGCTTGGCAGCGTCACTGGCGTCGACTGGTGCGCTATCCTACGAGCTAGCCGCCCGCCGTTTGAACCAAACAACCGCTGGCTTTGTGGTTAATCTGAAACTGCGGGTAGACGTTGTGTGAGTGGTCGCTGGCGTCTGCAGAGCTGGTACACGTCGCGCTTAGCTGCAACACTGCTCAATACATCGTTCAACACGAGCTTTATTACTGAGACCCATCTGGGTGGGTAAAGGGACAAGGAGCAATAAGATTGTGGCGCCGTGGCACCGACGTGGATCCGATCTGAGCATCAACCCCGTACTATGACGTTGGAAATGCCAGGAAACCGCTCCGTATTACCGTATTAGTTGCGCGCACGTGCCCTCCAGCTCCCACCTGCCAGGAAGAGCCACGCCACAGCCAAGCCTCACCATGTCGAGTCAATTGGCCGAACTTCAAAAACTCGAACAGCCTGGCTCATCCTTCTGAACCTAGGCCCTCATCCTTCATGTCTCTCTGCAGCCCTTTGCCGCTTCTTCTTCAACACCACGACAAGCGTCAAACAGGCCACAGCGCCATCAATCTCGGTACCGTCTACCACCACCGTCCCACCGGTTACAAAACTACCCCACCACTTCTGCGCGTACTTGGCTACTTCCGTCTTGATCTGCTGCTCACCACTCCCTGTGATCCGATAGAGTGTCATGTTCGTCGAGTGCCACAAGCTGTCCATTTGCCAGACGTACGGCTGTGAGTTGTAAACGAACGATTCAGTGCGCAGTCCCCAGCGCTTGTTACTCAAGGTGATAGTATGGGATGAATGAGCTGAGTCGTCTGGAAATGTGAGGACTGATTCGCCGAACGACGACCAGGCATGCGACCAATGTGCAACATGTGCGCTCTGGTCGTCGGTGATTTCGTACTTGAGACCTAGCCAGGTACGGCGGTGGCAGGTAAGTACCGGCGCGAAGGAATGATCCTTCATGGTCCTTTTGATCTCGGCTTTGTATTCGGCTGTCATGCCTGTATATGGCACTTCCATGTCTTTCGTCAAGTCAAGGATTGTGATTTTTTTGCTGAGCAAAGCATGAGGAGAGATCCAGTACACTACCGTGGGTTTGAGGGAACGAGGGTCAAGTGGTCGACTTGAGAACTCTCTATCGTGAGGCGTGTCCAGCCACGGGTCGTCATCCTCAGAAGACCTAGACTTCACGTGTGTTCGGGAAGATTTTCGGTGACGCACGGTGTTATTGTCTGCATCTGAGATGCTCAGATTCTGCAAAGCAATAGAGGTGGACATGTTCTTGGGTGATAGTGAAAGATATATACTTGAGGGTCGTACAACGAGTTTTGTTTTAAAACCTGGGATGTGCTGGGAATGACGAGACATGTGGAAAGAGACAGCCTTTTTTATACGTTCACTACAAGCACCGTACTCTACGCTCGCTTTACCATTCGCATCATGCTTGGTTTCCTTCTTGCCCATAAGGCAGACCTCAAAATCCGAGGCTCGAAGGTCTGGTCAGATGGTTGCTCATTGGACAGAGGTCTGTGGAAGTTTCAAGATTCAGCCTAGCTGAATGGTTTCTCGCATTCTCGCATTGGGATTTCTACGCCGGGCCGCACAGCCACAACAAACCGCCTTTGGTAGTATGGCCAAGATTGCTGATTTGACGACGAGTTATGTCTCTTCGGCACGTGCACTTAGCTCCATTTCCCTGAAGCCGAAAACAGTAGGTTTTCTCTGGAGGTCGGTCGATAGCTGGTGGAAGCACGGTAGCACCATCGCGCCATCTCAAATAGGCAAAGCGTGATCTCAACGCGTCGCGCTAGTCCCCGCGGTTCAGTGCTCTTGTGCGCAATACTCGTCGCCAAACGCACTCAATAGCCTCAACAATGGATCAACACGTGCCATCCGCAAGGTCGAAACAAGGCACCGTCGTGGAGCAAAAGCAGCGGTTTCTACAAACGAGGAAACATATTCTATCGCGTGGAATACCGCCGTCGGAACGTCTACGCACACTTGCGCAAGATGGTGGGATCGAGCTCAGTGTCATGAAGGGGGTGTTGGATAAAGGTATGGATCTACTGCACTCATGATGACCTTCAGATCGTTCTAACCATGTGGCTTAGTCAACCGCAACCTTAAACAACACTCCCGAAAAGTCTACAGCCGCCAAATGATTGAGCATGTTGTTGAGCAAATAGACATACTATACTGGGAATCTGACGCACATCATGCCGACGACGACGAAGAAGTAAATCCTCCGTCCGATGCCCACGAAGATGACACGCACGCGCTATATCAGAGCGATGACCTAACACTCGACGAAAACATTGCGAAACTACCCACAACATGGCCCGACCGTGACGCCGAGATCACACAAGACCAATATCTCTCCTCCGTCTCGCGCCTTCAAGAACTTTCCGCACGCCGGCAGACGCTTCAGAACCGGCTCGACACATACCGCACCTTGCTTTCGCTACTAGAACCCTATCGCAATCCCAAGGAGAACATACAGCCAAATTTGGTGTGGAAGGATGCGCCGCTCGCGCCTGAGCTGGCAAAGACACGGACATTGGCAATACGCGTTGCTGCACGTGTGGAAGAGAAGTTTGGCAACGTCCAAGCACCTTCCACGGCCGAAGACGACGAGAGTGTTGATATGGAAGGATTAGAGAGTGAAGGGAGGCGGAGGGTCGATAAGGTGCTGGAGAGCTGGTACTATTGAATACCGCGGCTTGATTCCTCTTCTCGATTTTGCTTTGGCGTTTGGATATGATACCCCACGTTTTTGACATTGTACAGTAGTATTTATAACATTTACAACAAGTACGGCTTCATCTAGCATATGTATTGCGGCGCCATTTCCACGAAAAAGACAGCTCCATCCTCTCCCAACTATCTCTAACACTACTAGGCTTGCGGGCTGCCCATCCTCCCTACCGCGCTTTCAACCTCCCTCTCGAACTTCTTTCCTCCGACCTCAACTCCAAGCTTAACTCTGACTTTGTATGCCCTTGTGATGGCAAAACTACGGAAACTTGGTACTGTCACACCTGGGATCCTCGCCGTGAACCACTGCTCACAAGTACTCTTCACTTGTTCCTCCATTGCCCCACTGTGCTTCTCTCCTGATGAGCCAGCGATAACGGAGTACTCTGGCAATCCAGCAGTAAGTTCCAATGTGGCTGACTCAGGTAAAGCGTTAAGAGACGTCTTTCTCTCCGTAAAATCCTCATGTTCATTCTTGGCCACGACATATAGCTGGTCTGGCGGCGGCCAGCTTTCGTATCTATTACTCCTGTGCAAGCCGGATCTGTCGCTACCTGCGTCTCTGTCGCGAGGTGCACGGAAGAAGGTAAAATTCAGTAAGTCCAATTTAAGAATGTTGAATGTGACGGATGGAGGAATGTGCAGCGCGTTCGGGCTTCGCGATAGTGTTGTGAAGGATGCACGAAAGTGAAATTCGGACCCGCTGGTAAAGTGCTCTGGAAGCTCTACAGCGACTTCGAAGTCCAGTGTAGGGGTCGAAGAGGAAAGGCGGTCGCGGATGCTTTGTCGGATACCAGTTTGCGTGTTGCCGGCTAGTAGAGAAGATCGCAGTGTGAGGATCTTTGGGTAGCGGTTCAGCGTGGTGTATGGTCCGGGTGGTGGTATCGGGCTTGTGGGTTGGAAGAGGATGATCGATGTAGTTGTCAGGTCTATGAGAGACTTGCCTTGGACAACACCAATGCCAGGACATATCAGTGTGGCCCGTACGCCATATTCGATCTTCGCAAAGTCTGCATCTGTGCCGTCATCTGTTGGCCTGTTGGATCTGGTAAATAGAAAGCTGGGAGGTAAGTCATGGGGTCCGATGTCGTATTTCTGGTCGGAATCATTTTCGTATTGGCCATAGCGCGTGGTACCAGTCCCAGCAGGAAACATGAATTGAAAGGGAAATGTGTAGACTTGGCCTGCTTCAAACTTCGATATCGCTTGTGGTTCCTTCTTATCCTCGTTGGTCATGGTAGTTGCTGCGTGTAAAATGTCTTGAGCTACCTCAAATAGTGGTGCGTTGTCCCTCCAATGATGGTAATCAGTGTAATCGCCGGAGCCTACATCCCGACGATACCATATGAGTGATTGCCCAAAGAGTGAGACCTTAAGCGCCTCGGGCTCGATAGATGCGACGGGCGTCAGTACGACATGGCCTCTGACAATATCGTCTGGCCTATAAACTCTATCGGCCGTGTCATCGAGTTGTATCGCTAAGTCAGGAAGTGGTGGTTGACGAAGCTTGTTGGAGCTAAAGAGGCCCATCTTGATGCCAGATCACTCAAGCTGTTTCAAGTGGAGGGCTATGGGGTATTCTAGGTGGAGTTATTGGGAGGGTAGAAGGATGTGGATGCTTCCAGATGATATTCTATTTGTATACTCTTCGTGTTGCGTCGTTTTCTCAAAAAGGCAATCGTTACTGATTGTAGTCTTTTTGGAAGTATTGATTCAGATTTGCAATGTGATTTCTCAAAAAGTCGAGCAAAGTGCTTGTGCCATGGAATGGACGATGGCCATTTTTGGTCGCTCCCTGATATTAGGGCCACCTGCACAGCCACGTCTGACTTTCAGGCCGACCAACCTCGTGGCACAGGGATCAACATATTTGCATTCACAGCCCACGATTGTCTGCCGTGAGATAAGCGCCTATCTAGTTGCAGGTGAAGGTGCAACGCGTCATTGGGTTGTCGCAGTCGGGATGGCTCCGTGGTGGCGGTCACTTGGGTGAGGGGAAGGGGACTTCGGAGTTTTCGGCAGGGGCCCCACTCTGGTAGCTCATCAACTGGTAAGCCAGTCAAACCACTCCTGTATAGATGATGAGGCTACGAACATTGCCCAAGTACAAGTACAAGAACACCAAGTGCAGCAGTATACGCTCTCATTCCGGGTACCCTTAGAGCTCTCCTCACAGATTGTAGCTAAGAGCTTCCGAGTTTTCCCCTTTGCTCTACAGTCTTTGCTATCTCAGCTCCAACATCTGACCCCAGGGCCTTAAAACCATCTACGACACCCTGCTGATCACCCACACCCATCTCTTGACTCATTTTGTACTTGCCACCAATATCCGTTATCTCGATCTGGATACCGATAATCGCTTTCTTCAGTATGTCGATGTACGAAGTAGGCGCATCTTCCACCTGCCACGGCTTCTCGTAGCCCATGATGTCTCTTTCTGACTGGCGGGACAGGTCCCTAATCTGTTTGTCGAGGAATTGACCCGTAGAGGCGGCTTTAGTATCGTAAAACACGGAAGCACGACCGTAAACTTGTACCGCTGAGTAATTCCACGTAGGAACCACTTTCCCGCCTGCTGGCTTTGTCTCTTTGTAGAACTTGGGTGTGACATAGTGGTGTGCAGGACCGTTAAAGAGGATCATAACATCGCGTGATATAGTCTGAATTGTGTCGATCCTCTCGTCCTCATTTTGAGATTGGATGTGTTCGATCAGGGCTTTAGCTTGCGGATTTGCTCGAGCGACATGTCCACGGAGAACGCCGAGATGGACCTGGTCTGCTGTGTTTTCGATATCCAAAACGAAAGGAATGTGACTCGATTGAAGAAAAGGAAACGACTTGGAGTCAATAGCTGTGGTAAAGATGCCTAGCGGGTTGGCGCGTATGAATTGCTGTAGTCTAGCAATGTCTTTCTCTGCATGAACGGCACGAAGATACATGGTGGATTGGCTAGTGGTTGCTGGTTCCAAGGCAGAATTTGTCTACTGAATATTCAAGGCCGACATACGAGCATCAATATATCAATCGCTCTACACGTTGTTTTGGCTGTTATGCTGTAGGGCGTAAGATGTCAACGGTGGCGTCTACAGCGTATAGTTGCAGTACCCAATCAGATATCACGAAATAATAAGGAGCATGAATGCAGGAAGAGGTCGATGACTCGAGCGTGACTATCCGTTATGGGCCGATTGTGCTCCACATCATTTTCTGAGGAGCATTGGCTAATTTGCTAGCGGAAAGCTATGTTGTACGAAGTACGTTGGGAATGAAGGGTCCAGCTCGACGAGTTCGGATTTGGAAGTGCGGCTCGCTCTGCGTCTAGTGCCTGGAACTTTCGCATGACCAATCGCACAGCCAGGCCGGCGCAACCAGTGAGGCTATACTACAGCGAGCATGTGTGGGTCGGGATTACTTCCTATGTTGAGGAGCAGGGACGAGAGTAAATTACTGCGCATTCCTCACCTTTGAATTCCTGTGGCGTGGTGCATATTCTGTTCGATATCAGCTAAAATCGTAGACAAGGTACGCTCTCTAGGTAACATATTACGGGTACCTATGTTGCCTACTTTTGCAGTATTTGTATCATTCTTGAGGGGTAAGTATGAATAAGAGCTGGTGGTAGGAGGTCAAAGGCGATAACGACTGCGTGAGAAGCGTGGAAACGAGCGTTGTGAGCTGTGGAATGACGCAATGCATAGCTGGCTCCCTCAGACCCTAGGACCTTTGGCTCCGAACAGAACATGTGTGAATTTTGAAGCCGGCAACTTCTACACTCTGTTTACATAGCGAAGTCTAATATCGTGTTGTATCGCCTCGATGAGGGATTTGCACGAACCTCAGTGGTACAGATATGTTCGAAAAGAGGGGTTCGCGCATCTCCGTGGGGGTGGGTTCCGTTGCAGAAGGTACAAGCGATCAACCCCACATGAGGTAGACCATCGTCACCATCCTTTGGTCCGACGTCACCACCACGAACACGTCCCTGCACTTCAACCTACGTCTATAGATTGAATCGAACACATTCGAGACTAAACTTTGGTTATTGGTTGCTCAACTAGCTCAGACAAAAGCAAAAATGACTTCTAGTTGGGAGGAGCTTGCTGCAGACAAACGAACTCGTATCGCCAGCACGATACCTTCGGAATGGTTGATTCGAGACCTTCCAAGCGATGACAATGTCTTCGCATTTCCGAAAGCATCAGGGCTTCTTTCTGCGCGAGAAATCGAGCTGACCGAGTCTTCGGCCACTGATCTCGTTGCACAAATGGCTGAAGGAAAGCTCAAGTCCGTGGATGTCACACTCGCCTTCTGTAAAAGAGCTGCCCTAGCACAGCAGTTGGTAAGACCAACTATACTACTGTGGCAGACCCAGCGATTAACAAGTGGCTGCAGACGAATTGTGTACACGAGTTCTTCCCCGAGGAGGCTCTCGCACAGGCTCGAGATCTAGACAAGTATTACGCGGAGCACAACACGACTGTTGGACCTTTACATGGTCTTCCAATCTCTTTGAAAGACCAACTGCGAGTGAAGGTATGATATTCTTCCCTATGTTCGGTGCAATCAACTCTCAAGTATACCGCGAGCGACAAACCTGACATGGTTGCATTAGGGAAAAGAAACATCCATGGGCTACGTTTCCTGGCTGGGAAAGTATGATGAAAAAGACTCCGTTCTTACAGAACTTCTTCGCAAGGCAGGTGCTGTCTTTTATGTCAAGACAAGTGTCCCTCAAACCTTGATGGTCTGTGAGACTGTCAACAACATCATCGGAAGGACCACAAATCCGCGCAACAAGAACTGGTCGTGCGGAGGAAGCTCGGGAGGAGAAGGAGCTATGATCGGCCTCCGTGGAGGCATCATCGGTGTTGGAACTGATATTGGCGGCTCTATCAGAATCCCATCCGCCTTCAACTTTCTATACGGGATCCGTCCTAGTCATGGTCGAATGCCCTACGCAAACATGGCGAACAGCATGGAAGGTCAAGAAACCATCCACAGTGTCGTCGGACCTATTGCTCACTCTGCGTCTGGTAAGTGAACAAGACGCACGTCCCTGCTGATCGAGAAGCTGACTGTCAAGACCTGAGATTATTCCTCACATCGGTGCTCCGCGAAGAGCCCTGGAATTACGACTCCAAAGTCATCCCATTGCCTTGGAGGTACAACCTAGAAGATGCTCTGAAGGCAAAGCTGAATTCATCTGGCCTGACCATCGGTTACTACACATGCGACGGCAACGTGAGTCTCAGACCGAAATGCAATACAATTGCTTTCGCTAAAAGCACAGGTTCTCCCACATCCTCCTGTCCTACGTGGAATCGAACGCGTAATGGACGTCTTGGAAAGAAGTCAGCACAAGGTTCTACCCTGGACTCCATACAAACATGATTTTGCTGTCGATCTTGCTAACAAGATCTATGGAGCAGATGGCTCCACGGTAATAACTCCTCCCTTTAGCTCTTGCGCAGCTACGCCTAGCTGTTTTACACCAGCTGACAATCAGACAGGACGTAATGAAGGACATCAACGCTTCGGGAGAGCCAGGAATTCCAAACATCAAAGAACTCCTCAACCCAGATATGCGAAAGGCTGACTTGAACGATGTGTGGGATATCCATTTACAGAAGTGGGATTACCAGATGCAGTATCTGTCCAGATGGCGAGAGGTCGAGGCCGAGCATGGTTGCGAACTTGACTGCATCGTTGCTCCCATCAGTCCAACCGCTGCTATCCGACACAACCAGTTCAAGTACTATGGCTACGCGTCTGCCATCAACTTACTCGACTTTACGAGCGTCGTTGTCCCGGTCACTTTTGCAGATAGCAAAATCGATGCCAAGCGTGCAGACTACGAGCCTCTGAACGACATGGATGCAGCTGTCCAGGCCGAATACGACCCCGAAGCATACCACGGTGCTCCAGTTGCTATTCAAGTCATCGGAAAGAGGCTTAGCGAGGAGAAGACGTTGGCGATTGCTGAGGAAATAGGAAGGTTACTCGGCAATTCGGTAACACCTTAAGCTGTAGCAAGATACAAGCTATCGTGAGCATGTAAAACAATACGAAAAGAATTGTAACGATGTATGCTCCATGTTTGCTCAGGAAGATTGATTGTCGGTTGTATAGGTGGCGTGAAGCGGACCCGGAAATTCCGCCGCTAAGCATGCGCAGGGATCCACTCTGCCTAATTGGAGCTCGTCACAGTCTTGACCTGTCTCATCTCTTATCTCACCAGCAATGTTTCTCCTCTTAGCTGTCCTGCTGATCGTCACACCTGCATTAACTTACTATGTCTCCACAACGTTGTTCTACCAAAATGCGAAACATACCGCATCAGGGAGCAGGCCCCCAACAATTCCGTATCTGTTCCCAGGGGTTTTCCATGCTTTCAGTATAGCATATGACGGACCGCAGAAGTACTTCGCGAGGTTACTGTACGATCATCCATGTATACAATACATTGTGAGTGCTAACACCTGTCAGCAAGGACTATGGCAGCTTCGCACCGTTTGCCGTCAAGGCGGGCTTGCAGCCCTTCATTGTTCTTCGAGATCCGGAGCAGATGAAGCAAGCTATCCAAGCATATGAGAAGCGAAATCCAGTCATCACCGGGAAGAATATGTACGAGATCATTCTGGGTTCTCCTCAAGCTGTAGCAAATCTATACACCAATGCGGCCGTCGATCAAGGAGCCATCGAGCGTGCGCGCATAGCATCAACGCAAAAGTACCTAGAAGGAGAGTCCTTGAGAACCTTGACCGACCTCTACGCTGCAACTCTTTCGCGCAATCTGAATAACAAGATGTTTCAAGTCGGCAGCTGGACACAGATAGAAGACAGCTGGTCGTTTTTCCAGCAAGTCCTCACAAGGTGTTCTATGGAGACCCTCTTCGGTTCAGCAATCTTCAAGCAATATTCTGGACTCATCAAGGACTACTGGAAATTTGAAGATGCCATTGAGGGCTTCGTGCCGGGGATGCCATGGTTCACAAATTCAACGGCATATAGGGAGCCACGCGATCGACTATACAAAGGCGTCGAGAAGTGGTTGAAAGCTAACCATAGCGGCACGGAATTTGCAAAGATCGGTAGTGACGACATGGATTGGGATGAACATAAGGGATCCAAATTCATTCAAGAACGCGATGACTTACTTGCGAAAGCCCCGTTACCTCTTGAAGCTAGGACAGCTGAGATGTTGGACATCATGCACCGGTAAGCATCATCTGGGGATGCATTATCTACCAAGCATCAAGAAGTTCTGACATGCTCTACAGCTCGAATGTTGATCTGGTTCCTTCCGCTGTGTGGTCAATAATAGAAGTTTTACGCAAACCGTATCTGGCGGAACGCATCACTACTATCGTCTCTGAGCGACAATCGTCGAAGATGACCACATATGACGTCAATGGGGTTGCAGCCTTGCCCCTCGTTCAATCATTACAGGCGGAAATAAGCCGCCTCCGTGTCGCACAATACATGACATGTGCCAACGAGTTCGCCGAAGTTTCCATCGGTAGCCAATGGAAACTACCTAAGGCATGCAACACAATTTCCTTCTCGCATGATATCGCACTGGATACCAAGGCCTGGGCAAATGCACGGCCACGTACTGTTGAGAAACCGTTAGATGAGTTTTGGCCTGAACGCTTCTTGATCCCCGATGATAATGGACCCAAAGTGCGAGGCCAACGGAAGAGCGGAACCCGTGTCGAGAATGGAAGGTTCGATGCGCAGAACCTCGAGCTGCTGGCCCCTATCTTTTACGACCGACAAAGCTTTGGAATTGCTAGCGACTATACCAGAGCCATACAAGCAGCCACTCTGGCTGTCGTCATGAGTGAATTTGAGGTACAGTTATGTGACCCAGAGGCGACCGATGCTGCGATGCCTGTGCTGCGAGAGTCCGCTTTTGGGCAGCTCCGACCACAGGAACGAATAGCTGTGCGCATACGCAAACGCAAACTTGGGAAAGGACAATGAAGGTACCCCGCTTCTCAACAAGAGGTCGTGTGAGTTAGCCACCAAGACTATTCGTGTATGCAATGCAAACAATCAAATAGCCCCGCTTCGTGTTCACCACCCCGTTTGTTGACAAACTCTTCGAAGCCCTCTAGCCATCTCTCAAAACTCAAAAGTAACTGTAACAATGATTACTATCACTCCCCAGAGCATGAAAGAGGTAGATAAGCTCACCTTGGTCGGGGGATTCATTGTGCTCGTCATTACATACTGGCTTATCAAGACTATCTATAACCTCTTCTTCCACCCTTTGGCCAGATTCCCTGGTCCGCGCTGGGCAGCTGGATCATACCTTCCTCAACTCTACTACGATATCATACATGGCGGGCAGTACTACAAGAAGGTTGTCCAGATGCACGAGGAATATGGTGAGCATTCCCCAATACGCGCACTCTACTGTAGAAGTATGTGTTCATGATAGGCAGGCCCACTTGTACGAGTCAATCCTGATGAGCTCTCCCTCAACGACCCCTTCTTTTATGACAAGGTCTATTCAGGTGGTGGACAGAAGCGCAACAAATGCCCTGATCTCACAACCATCGTACGCACATCGGTGATCTCTACTAACGACCATGACCTACATCGGCAACGCCGCGGCTATATTGCCAATCTGTTTTCGAAGAGATCCATCTCAGACCTGGAATCAATCATTCAGTCTAAAGTTGATAAGTTGGTGACCCTCTTAAAGGAAGCGAACCATACTGGAGAAACCCTCATCGGGCCTCTTGTGTTTGGCAGTCTAGCGATCGACGTTATCTCACACTATGCATATGGCGAGAGTTTTGGTAATCTCGACAAACCTGGATTCCCGTGCGAGCTCGAACGAGATGTTAAAGCCATGTTGATGATTCAACACGTGCGACGGTTTCTTCCTGGCATTGACCGACTCACTACACATCTTCCAGCCTGGCTAGTCGCCCGCATCAGCCCTTCCATGGTTAGCTTTCTGGACTTCGAAACAAGAATTGCAGGATACTCAAAAGCGGCACTTAAGAAAAGCATGGAAGGAGAAGAACCAACCAAACCCCGGACGGTGTTCGACGCACTAGTCAGCTCCAAGATACCCGCACAAGAGAGGACACTTCAACGATTGACAGATGAGAGCTCAACCATCCTGATCGCCGGGGTGGATACCACTGCCAGAACCTTGACAGCTACCATGTGCTACTTGATTCTGTATCCCGAAATCCTGGCCAAACTGCGTGCAGAGCTAAAACCGTACAAGAACGCGACCTGGACCCAGCTTGAATCTCTACCGTATCTGGTAAGTCATTTGCTACATTTTGCTATATGTGCCTCCTAATGCATACTAGACAGCGGTCATCAATGAGTCACTTCGATACGAATCTCCCTTCACAAGTCGCTTTCCACGCTTACTTGTCGAGCCGCTTGCTTACAAGGACATGCTCATACCTTCCGGCGTAAGTTACAGAACCTGCTTGAGAGCTTGAGAGAGGTCTGAAATGATTCTAGACTACCATCGGTGCAATGCCATATTTACTCAATAGCCACCCCGACGTTTTCCCTGATCCCCATGTGTATAGACCTGAGCGATGGATTGAAGCAAAAGCCCGTGAAGAATATCTCGACAAGTATTTGGTCACCTTCACGAAGGGCAGTAGAGCCTGTCTTGGCATAAAGTAGGCTATCTATGCTTCTTGTACGATGCAAGAATACTAACATGACCTAGTCTTGCATACGCCGAACTTTACCTTACCGTCGCAGCTATGGTCCAAAACTTTGACCTGGAGCTTGTGGACTCTTCCATCGAGAACATCACTCCATACCGAGACTTTGGTCTAGGTTTCGACAAGAATTATAACTACGGTGTCAACTTCAGGGTTACAAAAGTACTCCAAGAGTGAACGATGGGTTTTCTCGGATCAAAGTGACCAGTACGCGTATGGTTCTGGAGCATGCACCCGATTTTGCCAACGCAGCAGGTCCTGAATATTATGCTGTGTCAGGACCAATAGGTTCAAGGTATCTGATAATGACAAGAATGAACACGAACGAACAAGCTAGTGGTTATTGTAGTTACTCAACAATTACGGAACGTAGTATATCATGCAGGCAGACATCTAAGCTCAGACCGAGTCCATTTCCTTGCTGTCAGCCAACCCTATCCCTCCCACAATCGAATGCACAACCATTTCCTCACTGCGCATCCGGTTCACCAACCTCGCAGTTCCATGCTCAAGGGCATCCAGTAACTGGGTCACAGCATTTCTGTACTTTTATTAGCTTCTATCAGGCTAGATACCACCAGACTCACTCTAGTATATTTGCACCGAACGCAATTGTTCGCCTCCATTCTCCGATTGTCGCGTTGGTCGTGCGTATCGCGTCTGATACTAGACAGCGTCGATGGTTTGTGATATATGGGAGGGAAAGATGGTGGGTTGGGGATGGGTTGGTCGAGGGGAGGTGTTGCTGCGAGGGTATCGGTGACAAGGAGCGTGAAGATGGCAAAAAGGAGAGTCGTCAAGGCAACACGTAGGGAGTAGTGAATCATGGTTGGAATGGAAATACGAAGCGGCTTAGGTCAAGGGTGAAGATTGAGGGAGGTAAGAGTTTTAGATAAGAACATGTACGAGACAAAGAAAACAACACATTGACTTGTGTCAAATTATCCCTATCATCGCTATGACGGTACTACCTCTTCTCCAAGAGGTGTAGCGTCCTGAACTAACAAACCATCCCATCCAAGCATCATAGGAACCGCGATTACCAGAAACCTCGCTCATTCCGTTAAGAGTTGAACCGATATACGTGTATCACCACCTCGTACTACGACAAACCCCAAAACCAACCCATCACATTCTCCAATTACCACCTAGCTCGCCCGTCCTACCAGCATGCAGCGCCATTGCTCACTTGACCTCGGTGTTTTGTTGACGTCTGTGATGTGGTAACCACTCGTAGCCCATCATTTATGGCGAGTTTCAAGGGCACTTCAGCCCACAAGCCGACTCGCACAGGATGTTTTCCCTAGCAGCCTTGCACTTGCAGTGGTTATAGCACATTGTCCCCGTACCGCCGTTGGGGCAGAGAATAATAAACAAAATTTGCTATGATTCACATTAGTCACAGTATTGCGACAACGGTTATCTGCCTTGGTTGTGCGCCTTTCCATTGGTCGTGGGAGAAGGAATCAGACTGAGGAAGGCTTCAACACCGAAAAGGGAAAAAGGGGAAGAGAGAAGGATTAAAGAAAGATAGACTTGCCTTTGTGCAAGTAGATATCTTTGCTTTACACTCGTTGCAGATCTTGGTGGGGTCGTCGGTGATGATGCCTTGTCTAGGCGAGAGAGAGATGACGGGTGTGGCACTGGCAAGAGCTACCAGGGTTGTAATGAGGAGAACTGCGACCTTCATGGTGATGATGGCTTGGTTTCGTTGATGGAATTCAAAGGTGAGAATGATTTCTTTAGGTTGATGGTCAGCTGCGAGACACAGTAGAGATAGGAATGAGGTTTCGAGTCTCTATCAACTTATAGAGAAGAGTGTAGTTGCGTTCTTGTTACCTAGATTGATTAGCAGCGACTTCTTTCATCTTCAATATGCGACCATGTGGTGTGGTCTTTCCTTTGTCGCTCCTTGCATGTTAGATGTACGGCGAAGACAGAGCCAACACGACGAAGCGTTCCTCCACGCGAGGTAAGCCTTGCGCCCTGCAGTAAACCAATGCATCATACCAACAAGTGGTCATGGTAAGATGGCCGGACTTGGCAACAGCTTCTTTGTATTGTGTTATATGGCCGGCCGGATGGGCCCGTCGATCCTGGTGGATGTAGTCTGTCTGCCTCAATCCTCTGGTCCTTCAAGACTGTTCCTTTGTGTGCACCAGCATGTACCTAAGCACCACGTCCACCTCTCTCGTCCTGCATGCCAATAGCTGGGTCGGGCGCCTCAGGGAACTCCTTCTTCGCCTTCTCCTTTCCGCCAGCCGAGTCCCTTCCTTCAGTCGCATGACCACCGCTGCCCTCTTTTTGCGCGCTGCTGGATGGTATCAGCCGCACGTTACGATAATGCCACTCTCGTTCCCTTGCTCCTCTTGCACAATGCAGTATGCACACCGCTGGGGATGACTTACTCTAATCCGGCCTTTGCATTGCTCTCCTGAACGTTGTGTGTGTCTCCTTGCTTGACCTTCTCTTGTACCGCGTGAGGGCTGTCGCTATCGTACTTGTCCGTCTTGGTCTTTGAGTTGGTGCTCGCGTTGTTCGGGTATTGCTCGACCCTTCTTGAAGCGGAGAGGGAGAAAGGACGTGCGGACGGGACGCTGAAGCGAAGGGTTCTTGTGGATCGGATCATGGTGTTGCGGAACATGGTCGTTGAATTCGTAGCTTATAGCTGTATATTACGTAGATGAGGAGGGTATATCGAGTATGTGTCGATTGGGTTGATTGAATGTTTGATGTCAAGGGGGATGGATGCAAGGAAGTAAAAGTTTGGCGGAGACCGAGGTATGCAAGAGCGAATGACGCATGATGCGTTTGTACATTTCAGCTAACAGATGCAAATGATGATGTATGACGCTCTCGACATGTACCTGGCATGGGCCGCGGGTCATAGCTCCACTTGTCGCGCTTTGCCGCATCGAGATGGCATCTACCCCTCCCCCACACTTTTGCGATTTGAGCCTCATCGCGAAGATCGGGCTACCTTCAGCACCAGACGATTTACCTAAGGAACCAACATGGCGGACCAAAAAGACTGGAAACATGACGACTTTCCCTGCACCCTGTACAGACCCTCCCACATCGACTTCTTACCATACATACTAATGCATGCCCAGCACCCTCAACATACCCTTCCCCTCCGCGCACCTCGCCCAAACCGCCCAACGCGCCATCTCTGTTGATGCCGAACTCTCACCCCTCGTCCGCCGCGCCTTCTCCCTCAGCACATCGCCCGAATCCCCTCAAGAAAGCGTCCTCAAGGTAGAGTACGCAGCAACCACGAACCGCATGCTACGCGTCGCCGTCAACGGTTTCATCGAGAGCATAGGCGTCGTGATAGGCGTCATGAAGGAACTAGACACGGATATTGTGTATGAACCTACCAAGGAAGGACTGGAAGGTGTGCAGGGACTAGACGCGGCCAAAGTAGGATGAGGGGGACGAGGAGAGCAATTGCGTCAATCATCACATCTACACAAGACGGAGATATGCGCGCCGACGAAGGCGGCAGAGTAAGCCAAGCATACAAGAAGATAGTGGGAGGATAAAAGAGTCGAGCTCGTCGCGTGCGAGAGAGGAAGCGATCGGTATAACTCAGCGGTCAAGCCGCGAGGATGGACGAAAGCCAATCATCCACGAAGGAATTGCCCTTGTACCAGACAGGACATGCTGATGGTATACACTTGAAACGTTCTGCAGTATCTACAATATGAAGAACAGCAAATAAGAATGGGGTGCGTGCCCAAGTTTTGTGCTTTCAATTCTCAGTGCTTTCCGTGCCATGCTACAAGCCAAGTACGGTTATCCAAACGCCTGGATGCTATGCTGTATGCCCCCAAGTGCAGACTCTATTGCTAATTTTTCGCTTACAACTCCTCGCCACCACCCTCCTCCACCTCATGGTCCTCAAATTTCCTCTTGGGCGCAGAATTTCCTTCTAGAACCGCCATCTTCGCCTCTGGAACCATGGACGGCGCAACCGGGGCATGCTCTGGCGGTTTCTCCGTCGGCATAGGCGGATACACACCATCGTCTCTGATCTGCCAGCCATCTATCTTCAAAAGCTTCCACCTCTCCTTGATCTTGCACCGAACTAGCTCGCCTGTAGTCCGCGCATCTTCGTAGCTGTCGTGGCCAGCGGCGCCTCCTTGCTGGATTTGCTCACCGAGGTAATCTGATGCTAGCTTGCGCAAGCCAAAACGGAAGGGTAGACCGCTGGGATTCGGGTAGAGAAGTACGGTGTCGATGATGGTTGGGTGGACGAGACGAATGGTGTTGAGGTCGTTTTCGAGAGCATGACCGAGAACTGGGGTGGTGGGAGAGACGTGTGAGAGAAATAGGTCTCGTGCGACGTGAGGTGAGTCGACGATGCGAAGATCTTTGCGGACAGGCTTGGGATTTGCTGCATCGTACGGCTTCGCGTTCAGGAACTGGTCTGCGGTGATACCCGAGAACCGCGTATTGAAGTCTAATACATGTCCGAGGGGGCGCACCAGCACATCAATAAGAGGCTTGTGCTGCGGCCATGCTATGACTGTAAGACGAAGCATCTCGAGACCGTTGGTCGTGTAGCCCATTTCGCAATCGAAACACACAGCGGTATCTTTCGGGACTTTGTCGTTTTCTGGCGTTTCGATGAACGGCATGATGAGCGACAAACGATTTGGGTCTTTGACGTTGTACACATGTGTGCTGTGCGTGGTGCAGCCTTCTGATCCTACCTCTCCATTGCAGCAGCTGAACTTTGTAGGTTCTGGTGCAACGCCTCTTGATTTCCTAGGGAAGACTCGCCTGCCCCAGTGATGTTTGCACTGCCCTCCAGTAGTAAGTGCTCCGTCTTCCTCCCTTCGTTCTGAGAAGACTTGGAAACGAGTGTTGCAGCGTTCGCATTGTTCCCAGCCACCCGCTGCTTCCAGCGCTAACTTTGTCTCATTGAGATCGGCGTCGGCAGGCAGCTTGGTCACATAGCCATGCTTATCCAATCCTTCCTGCGGGCAGATGAGCCTGGGGAGAAAAGTGACTTCTTCTTTTGGAGTAAGGCCTGTATCGACCTTCTTGGGAGGTGCCTTTTTTGGTGGTTCTCCGCTTTCCTTGGCTATAGCTTCGCGTCGTTCCTTGACCCATTCTTCCGCTGGCATGGTCTTCAGCTTGACCAATCGCTGTTTCAGTATGTTTTCATACACTGAGCCACTTGATGAAGCTATCCTTTCTTCTTCATCAACCGCCAGTTTATTAAGCTGATTTGGTGATAGGTGTAGTGCTTTGATTTCAGGTTTGACTGCTTTGAGAAGCTTGTCGTTCTGGGGCTTCATGTAGGTATGCAGCGCCTTGAGTAGAGTTACCCGCTTGGTGAAGGTCGCTGGTTCTTTGTTGAGTTTTCGTGGCATCAAGGTAACAGGAGCATCAGGTTTAGCAGCGATCTTGGGTGCTGCAGCAACCGGTGGTGGTGATACTGGTCGTGTAGCAGATGCCGGAAGAGGAGTGGGTGTCTTAGGCGGTGCGGTGTTAGCAGCTTTGGGCGCATTGTTTGGTGTCGGTGCCTTGGTCTTGGGTGTGTCTGAGTTAACAGGAACGTTGAGCTTTGCCTGCGTTGGTGCTGGAGCGGCCTGTAAGTTGGATGCCTTTGAACTGTCGTCGAGCTTCAGCCTCTTCGCGATGGGCTCTGGATCATATTTTGCTGCGACGGGTGACGGAGACCGTCGCGCTGGAGGTGGTTCCGATGTCTCGTGACTGAAGATGCAATGAGGCAACTCGCATTTTGCACCAGAGGGACATGTTATGTTGGCAAAGCTCCTGTAAGCTGGTATCGAAGGCCACATGTTTGTTTTGATTACGGTGTATCCTTTCCTGTAAGTAGATACAATGCCAAGCTTAACGCGCTCGTAACCTACCAGGCTATAACAGCTGAGTAGCTATGCGCTGACAGTCGCAACTATATGGAGCCCGATCTTGTAATCGACGAGAGCTGCACGCTTGACTGCACGATATTGCACTGGAATGAGCGAGTGACGTCTGATCAATCAATATCGCAATGCGCAAGAGAAGATTGACGTGAATGCAAAGGCGGCTGATGAGAGGCCGTCGCGTTGAGGTCCGTATTGATGCCTCATCAACTTCATCAAGTGCAGTATGACAACAATACGCTGCAATCAAAGTTACCAGCAAGCTCCAGTATGAGCTTCAGCTATCCCAAAGGAGCTAGAGTGAGCCAGAAGGTGAAGGTGATTGATGAGGTGAGATGCGCGTCTCAGCCCTGTAGATTCTTTAGCGCTAAATAAAGGGTCCCTAGTCCACGGTCCACGGCCCACGGACGCGGGCGAACGCGACGGCGGCGATCTAATCGTTAATTCCGTCATGACGCGGTGATGCAACTGTTGCGCATCCCGAAAACACCGACTTTCATCTGTTCAGCGCCCACAATTGATGCGCAACTGTCTTCTAACTACATTTGCACATCTATACGCCAATCCGAGACGGTCGTGCTACTTTGTCGTTACATAAGTGGTGTCCTGGCCGCAGGTGACTTGCTTTTGAGGCTGCGCGCGTCTCGGTCAGACTTGCGCCTCCCACGGACGACTTCTGGCCGCCGGGGCGACATACATACACTGCGCCTTCCACCCTAATTCCCAGGCCAGCAAACTTTACGTCTTTCGCCATGTCCACCTCTGTCGATACCAAGAAAGCCGACCACCTTTGTGTCCTCGTCCATGGGTACGTCTCCGTACGAGGCCTTATCGCCTCCTATCATGTCAAGAAGAAGCACTTCCGCTGACCGCAACCAGTCTGTGGGGGAACCCTGAGCATCTGAAATACGTCAGTACCACACTGGGCGAGAGATTTCCAGAAGACAAACTGCACATCCTCGTGGCCAAGCGCAACGCTGGCAGCTTCACCTACGATGGTGTCGATACTGGCGGCGAGCGTGTCGCGGAAGAGGTCGAGGGCAAGATAGAAGAACTAGCCAAAGCCGGACACGACATAACCAAGATCAGCGTCGCCGGCTACTCGCTAGGAGGCTTGATCGCACGCTATGCCATCGGTCTGCTCTATCACAGAGGCGTCTTCGAGAAGATACAGCCAGTCGTACGTGCCTCTATCATTACCCCACCACACAGTGTACTGACTCTCTAGAACTTCACGACCTTCGCGACACCACATCTCGGCGTGCGAACGCCCCTCAAAGGCTACCACAGCCACATATGGAACGTCTTGGGAGCACGAACGCTTTCCATGAGCGGCAGACAACTGTTTGGCGTCGACAAGTTTAGAGACACAGGCCGATCGCTCCTATCTGTACTCGCAGACCCCGAGAGCATCTTCATCCGAGGCCTTGCGCAGTTTAAGCACCGAAGTCTATACGCAAACGTTGTGAACGACCGAACAGTCACATACTATACCGCCGGCATCTCACAAACCGACCCCTTCGTCGACCCAGACGACATCAAGATAAACTACATCCCAGACTATGAGGAAGTTATCGTCGATGGCGATCACCCAGTCTCGCCAAAGGAGCCTGAAGAACCCCCAGCTTTCTCACAACGACTGGCCCAAGGCACAAGGACAATACTGGGGCGGGCGACGATTGTCGCAGTTCTGACAGTCTTCATACCATTTGGTGTGTCGGCCTTCCTCATCAACTCGGCTGTTCAGACGATTCGCAGCGGTCAACGCATAAGACTACACGAAGAAGGCAGATCTGGCATCGACTACGCACGCTACCGCATACCCAACATGATCACTGCCATGCGACGAGAAGCCGAGGGCATGTATGAGAACGCGAACCATGCCCAGAGCCAAGATTATCTGAGCGAGGGTTTCGAACATGTGGCCTCTCCCACCCAGCCCACCTCGCCGCGCTCGCGCAAGGATAAGCCCAAATCGGACGCCGATTCGATACAGGAGCAGAAGGATGCTGCGAAGGTCATTTTCCCGACATTGGCCCTTACCGATGACCAATTCAAGATGATCGAAGCGCTGGACAACGTGGGCTTCACGAAGCACCCGGTCTATATACATAACCACCGACACTCCCACGCGGCCATTATCGTGCGTATGAACAAGCCTTCATTCAACGAGGGCAGGGTGGTCATCAAGCACTGGCTTGACAACTTCGAACTCTGATTCATCTTTTGACATTTTTTCTGTACATTTTCAGCGCGGCGCATGGCGTATCTCTGGAATAGCATGTCTCGGAATATAGAACCTGCTTTGCGTAGGGAGAGTTATACCTTTAGCATTTTATTTGTACAGATGTTCCTCATCTACCAATGCTTAATACGTTACTACATTACAAGTGCTATTTCGTTGTACAATGCATCTTTCTATCCTGTTCTATTCTACCAAGGACTAGGTCTCAATCCAGCTCACCCTTCTTTCCCACGAATCGAAATGTGCATCCTTTTACAAAGCGCCTTCCGGTATGCCCAGCTAGCTCAATCTCCACCCTCACTACTTCATACTTCGCCGTCTCATACATGCGCAGGGCATCTTCCTGCTCCAGCGAGACAACCTCATACGCCCATCCATCAACCCGCGATCCAGGATGGTCGTCGACCAGAGCATTGTACTTGCCGCCCCACGTCTGAAGCTTTCCTCCATGAATCAGAGCTGGAACCAGTATGTGCTCTTCTTCGGGTGGTGATTCGAACAGCTCGTTCAGAAACGAACTATCGCCCAGCGTGCCATAGAAGAAGTACCACACGGGGAGTTGGTCCTGTGTCGGGAGACACTCACACGTGCTGCTGTCAGGACGGTAATGTGGCAATGTGGTGTCGTATCCAAGAGTTGGGTACGCCGAATTGGGAGACAAAGCCTTGCGCGCCTTGTTGATAGGCGCAAAGATTGGGGAAATGTCTGGGTATGCTTTGGCCAGCCAGCTGTTGATCTTTGGAATGTCGAGGTCGCTGACATGGCAGAATTGCGCGATGCCGTCTTCGCCTTCTCCCTGGATGATTCGGGCTTGGGAGGGAAGGATGGCGGCCAAGGCGAGGATTGTGGGGGTGACAGGGTCGCTGAGCTTGAAGAGGTAGTCCATATTGCTGGACTTGCGATCAGCTACTCCTTTAACTAGAGTCCTACGCTGCTTGTTGAACCGAAGCAAGTCCCTCAGTTCGAATGATAGTTTCGGTGCAGATGTACGATCGGGTAGTACGGTGTCCCCATTCAGTTCATCGAATGCGCTCATGGCGTGCTGGTCTAAATTGTCGAGATATTCCATGTTGCTGTTGGTAGCTATCTACCTGCTGTGAATTGTGGTAGATTTACGTCGTAGTAGAGAGGAAGAGAGGGGAGCAGAGAACAAGATAGAGCACACATATGGTTCCAGTTGGACGACTATTGTGACTCAATATCTAGCGTCATCGCTGTAATGATGTTTCGGTAGCGAGCCATAGCTGATGGGCCTGCCTTTTCACACCCTACATCAGGTCTGCAGCGTCGGACCCTCCTCCCACTATGGAAGCTGGGATGGTATCGGTTTTGTGCTCACATGATTCTTGTGCAGCGAACACAAAACATATGCGTGGTGGAATGCACAGAAAGATGCGATGGCCATCTCAACGCATCAAGAGATGATGGTGTTCTCAGCTGCCCATCTAATCAATGAAGCGTGCAGACATGAATTTTCAAGGCAAACACTTCGAGCTTGGCTATGCTCTTGTACCTATATGGGGTTAGTGGTTATGTTCACAGCCCCATGAAGATGTTGTCTTACCTCTTGAGTCATGGTTGAAAGCTGTGGTCAGGTCTTCCAACATGATAGTGGTATGCGAAGACCAGGTATGGTAACGCTGGTGATGGTGGAGTATGTTTTGCCTTGACATCGGTATGCTTGGGTGAGATGCATGTGTCGGGAGGAGAGTGCTGATCTCTGCCAATGTCTTAGGTATCCGAACCAGTAACATCTTAGGAGAACGACACATACCATGGTTGTGTCGAGGTTGACGTCGTGTGTAGATTCTGTAAAGTAGCCATATCGTTGGCGGACATGTAATTAGGAGGGCGATGACAGCGATGATGCTTTGGGTGTCGAGAGCCATATTTCTGAGCTTATTCTCTGGTAGGATATGCGGAATGCTTGTAGGAATGAAGGCAGAATGAGATCTGCACTTGGTAAACCGGTTGCTTTGCAGCGTCTGCGTGATCGCGAACATTGTCAATAGCAGTGAACAGCTATTATATAGGTGGAGCATATGTCGAAGTCAAGTCGGACGCTCGGCGTTAACCTTGTGTCCTTAGGTACAAAAGCTCAGTAATGGAACTGTAATTTTGAAATCCGCGGCCCTGGTCAGCTAAGCACCCCTGTCTCCTTAGACATCATCCATCGACGTACGTACCACTTGGATGATGTCTAAGGAGACAGGGATACAATACCTCTTGCAGAGCATCAACCTTACTATGGTAAGAGGGCCGCGCTCGATTGGCCAGCGAAGCCAATCACTTCTTCAGGTTGGTCTGTTCAACTTGCTCGCCGGTTACAATGCTAGGTCATGATCTCGGTATGTCGAACGCATGCAGCCGCATACTTGTGCTTAGAGGCACAGAGGGCGACTTGTGGTGACCAGTCCCTGAGACTGGTCTACTATGTAAAGAACGACCAGCGACCAAGTCTTTCGGTCGTGGAGAAGTCCTCGGGTGCGCCATGCACAGCCACAACCTTACAACATACGTGAGCCAGCCAAAAGCTCTTTGCGTCCGCACGAGGCGCTGACGATCGCTATACGCCACCCCGCACTCCAAGCGCACATCCGCGTATACAAATGCGCGGATGACAAGCGTGCGAGATTGGCAGCATGTCGCGCACAAAGTAGAGCGCAGGACCAAAGCCGCGTCGGCAAGCTGGACGACAGGCCGGACCACGGGAGCCAAATGTATTGCTACTGTGGTATAGTCACTTATAAGATGGCCTGGTAGGTCCGCCAAAATCTTGGTTGTAATATTACCACTTCACTGGCGCAGCCTTCTTATGCGGCACGACGGCATCGGTCTCATCGATGATCTTGGAAGCGACCAATTGTGCTGAGACTCGCGCGCTGAGTCCGACCAGAAACAGAAGCGTTGGGGGATGCCATTCACTCACCGCGCGCCATGCCCGATGCCTGACGGCGGGCATTGCGCGCCCAGCCTGTTTTATATTTGTTCTGTTTTGGGTGTGTAATATCGGAAACACATGTTGCCCGCTATACGCCCGTAATCCTCGCCACCATCGTAAAACCAATTGTGCTGAATCGACGACTCGGGAAGCAACCAATGGCATGCCATACAGTTTCCCACTCTGACACACGCCCTTATTTTCTTGCTGTCAACACCCGATCCCACGCAGCCTGGCTAGACGTTAGGTTCTCTCGAGGACACGACACTGTTGTCTTACGGTGCTCCCGGAAGTTCCGGTAGAGTCGCTCAAGTTCCGACCTTTTGTTGCCTTGTGGCGTCCGGCTCTGCTTACTGCCGAGAGGCAGTCTTATAATCCTATACTATACCATATAGGGACGGTTGCACTTGGACCAATAGATTCAAACATGCCAAAGAGATCGGAAGAAGACGAGTCCGAATGGACGATACGGAAGAATGACATCCTCGATTTATACGTAGAGCAGGATAGGTCGCTGTCAGAAATTATCCGTGTCATGGCCAACCAAGGCTTCACAAGAACGTAAGGAGAATGCGACACTGGACCACATCATGTTAACTGGTACAAAGAAAACCACAATACGAACGATCCTTGAAAAGATGGCGTGTATCCAAGAATGTGCGCAAAGAGGAGTGGGACTTCATCCTCGGTCGCATGAACCAACGCCAGCGCCCGACTACTGTGAAAGTCCGCGGTATCACGATTCCGCAGTCGAGGCTAGAGCGTCAAAAGCTTCAGCATCGTGAGAGTACTCTTGCTTTATACGAGCCATGTAGAAAGCATCACGATATATGACGGCTCACTGAGAGGATGCCACAGAATTGAATCCTCTGCCTCATTGTCAGACACCACCGAACATTGAGATCTCCACGCCGCCACCAAGCCTACCTGACGACGATTCGCAACTAGTCACATTGCCAGAGCATGAGTACGGTGGAGAGCCCGAAGAATATGACCAAGAGACTTCCGTAGGCGAAGATATTCGAGACCAAAACGTCATACTATCTGGAGAGGTTCCCATCTTGTCGTCAATCTACGACAACTCAAGCATAAACACTTTACTCGAGATGCCTGAAGATAACGCTGCGAATGAGGCGTCGAAAAGGAGGGAGAATTCACCGTCGTTATCAGCTCTGCACTCGAACGGTAGCCCCCCGATACTTTCAGGACCACTTTATGGTTACATCTACAGATTGTTCTCCGGTGATTTTAACCATGTCCTCCAAGATGCTGTCAGGATGAGGAGTCAATACCAAATCCACAAGGGCCAGCGATCTGCTGAGTTTACTATTTATCAATCTACTGATGTCATTGTCCAAGCTATCGTCCGATAAAATGCTCCAAGCCGAGAGTTCCATCAAATCATGAGATTCACTCAAGATGATTCTGATTTGGATCTTCTCCAGCGAGTACTGATAGCTACTGATTCGGACGGGGACTGGAAAACATTGGGCGAAACCCTTTTGTTCGATGCGGTGAAGGACGGAAACCTACTTCTATTGGACATACTCTTGGATGCAGGAATAAACGAAATTGCTCCTGGCGAAGAAGAAGCCACTGAATATCCACTCAACGCACTACAGATTGCAGTACAATACCGGCATTATGAAGTAACCAGGACTCTCACAAGGTAAGTTGCGGCTGCAGGAAATACATATGAGACACAAACTGACTGCGTATCTTCATATCTACAGTCATGGCGCGATGATATTCACTGGCTGTCCATACACTGATTTCGAGTTCCTGTCTCAAGCAGTTACTGAAGATGCTATGCATCTTGTACGACCATTGCTTGCTGATTGTACAAGATCATTAGATCTCCAGATATTTCGAAAAGGAAGCGAAGCTCTTAGTCGGGCTGTGACTCTGTCCAATGACGAAGTAGTCGACGTTCTTCGTCTACAATGCGCGGATTGACAGCGGCCAGGACAAGCGTCGATTTCTATACGGAATTATACGGACACCATATACTGTTTCAAGAAGCGATTTCTTATAGGCAATATAGACATCGTTGTCATTTGAATCGGAGCCGGCGTAGACGTCGACGCTCCTAGAGGTACATACGGCAAGACCGCGATTGAAATAGCCGCCGAAGTAGGCAATCTTGAGATGGTCACTTTCCTCCTCGAGGCAGGAGCCGATATCGAGGGACAACACAACAGAAACTACAGGAGGACAGTTTACAGAGCATGAGATAACGGACACATGTCTGTGGTCAGGTTACTGCATAAGTGGAAGGGATCGAGATATGGCAGGCACGACTGCGACATGTTAGACAACTTGATGAGCTCGATTGCGTGCGACGAATTGAACTTTCCAAGCGAAGTAGCCAGGGCCGCTCACTTGGAATATCAAGCCGAGGTTCACTCTGCAGTCGAGTCTTCTGCAGACGAAGGCTCCGTGGCAAGCAATAGTTGAGAAATACACACCTTCTCTTGGAGAACACCATACAACGGAATTTAAAGATTGCCGGACACTGCAGAAACAAAAGCGATAACCCAGAGACAGATGATTGCACAAGACGCTGTTATTCCATACACGCAACCTCAGCCATTCAAGCGCATACGCGCCCGTGAACACACCCTCCTCTCATTTCCCCTCTTTCCCCTCCCCCTTAACCCGCGAACGTGGCATCGGGCCGACACCAAGCACCAAAAAGCTTATTTCATATCCTCGCCAGGTTCAGGGTTGCTTGTCAGAGTACAAAATGAAAAGATCGTCATGGGAATCCTCGGTGCCGGGATTGTGCTTGCATTCGCGGTTTTTGAAACCGAAATGGACGGATCGCCAGGAACGCGAGAGTTTAGGTAAGTTGTATGGATAAATGTTTTTTCCTTTTCTCCTTCTATTTGTAGATCTGGGGTACAGAGTTTTGAGAATAGCGTGAGTTTGTTATAGCTGGTGCGTCATTGTTTTCGCAATGCATGTTTAGTGTTGATGAATACCGTTCGCCTTGAAGTTCGCCGTGACGTCGGTGATTGCGCGGTGTTGAGATACGGCCCCACCTGTTGTGTGGGATTGAAAGTGGAGAAGTATGGTATTACGATCGTTCAGTCATGTTGCCGTGTACCGAGAAGAGAACAAGATTTGTTTTCGCGTGCGAGCTGGAGTAATTGGTAAATGTATCACGTAAGATATTCATTAGCCCAGAAGCAAAGGATGTAGGATGGTAAAAAACAACGTAGATTGGTTTCATAGTGTCGCTCAAAGTTATGCTGATAATCGTGAGGGAAAGAAAAAAGGTGGTCTCCGAACCATGCCGCTCGCATACATACGCCATGATTGCTGAAATTCGCCGTTATGGTATATTGCCCCAAAAGTTGTCGAAGCTAAAACGCTGGAAAAAAAGTCCATATGCGCCCTTGATCGGACTATCATATCGCTGGTGAAATCCTACTTCGTACTCCTACAAAACGCCCGTAAACCCAAGCCGGGTATTTCGCCAATAAGTTGCTCGTCGTGAAATCTAATATGTACATGGAAGGTGGTCATGTTGTTGTGGTGGTGGTGCGTCGAGGTGTTCTCATATCGAATCTATTGCCGGGTATTCGAGCTCTTCTTTCTTGTCTTCTTTGAGACATATGCCTTGTCTGCCAACCTTTTCTTGGAGGTAGTGGAGTCGGTTGGTATCCTTTTCGTCAAATGCAAAGGCGCCGCTCCAGAATCCGCAGTCGATGTTTGTGGTCTCGTTTCGAAAGACGACCTGAGCTTGTGCCGCCAGGTCTACCGGGGGGATACCGTGTTCGGACTCGCCGCTTTTCTCGCCCACCAGGTCAATCTCACTATGACCTGGCATGTGGTGGAATAGTTCAGAGTTGAGCGTCCAGCAGCGGAGTCCGGGGCTCGGGTATTTGCTTCGGGTCAGGGGATTCCTTGCATTCTGCCACTCGGGTGTGGGAGATGGCGTGTTCTCTCCCTTGTTACATGCGTGGAGAAGCGCAACATCGAATGCGCGAGGTCCAGTTTTCTTCAGCTTCGGTGGAGCGAGATCGTTGAGGAGGCGTTCGGCGGTGCGACGGGTGACGGCGTATCCGAAAGAGCAGAGCGGGAACTTGGAACGGTGGATGACGCGTGACCCTTCAGGCATGCCCAGTAGGCGGAACAAAGCCTGTGTGAAGGGATGTAGGTTGTACCATGCGGGGAGGGTAGGGTCCTGGTATAGGATGTGTGGCATAGCAGTCAGATTAAAAGATTGGCGGTCGGTCTTGGGTCCGTCCTCAGTGACGACGTCGAAGTAATCACCGCAGTGGCCGAGATAGAGTAGGTCCCAGGCATCTTGGTCGCCCCAGTACTGGGTATGGTTGCTAGCTGCGTTGGCGTAGGGGTGCTGGGAGCGCGGCGGGGGAAGGAGCTGGCGGGCAGCGCTTGCCGCGAGCGGAATCTGTTGGCTGCGCAGACGAATATCCCAGTCGACGTCGTCTTCGAGAATGAGAGCCGTCTCGAGGCCAGAATCGAGAAACCTTAGTAAGCGAGTCAGCAGCAGCTCTACAGCGACGGATGCACGCCAAGACGGGTGCCGGGCAACGAAGGATGACTTACCACTTGAGGGCGTTGTGGTGCCCTAACCACGCTAGTATAGACCCCTTCTGGACCTTCTCTTGCCCATTGATGAAGCGTTGGACATCGCCCTCGGTCCACTCTGGCTGTGGCGGGATGGTGAGGTCGATGTCGGTGACATTGGCCGCCTGGATGAGCGGCTGGCGGCGCGAGGAGCCTTCCTTGGAGACGACGACGACGGCGCCGAAGCCTAATGTTCTGTTTGAGGGTATCTTTGCAGGCCGCGACTCAATCGAGGACATCCATTGCAGATATATGTGGTCAGTGTCTCTGCTGTGGTACCATATGCCAATGAGGACGAGGACGAAGAGCAGCAGCAGCGGCGTGGGCCGCTTCCTGGATGCAAGCATGCCGGGCTATATCGTGTTGCCAAAAGTTGTTGTTAGAAGAGTGTTGTTAGACATGTCCGCGAAGACTCGGGGTGGGGGGACGCTATGGCAATAACAAAGTACGACGATGGCGCGCTCGGTAGGCATTAAGTTGGTTAGAACAATGGCTGGCAGGACCGAAGTAGATCAGGCTGGGCGACGGCTATCTCTAAATGTCGCAGGTCGCGGCGGGAGCAATACGGGGGCCTACCGGGGGGTGGCACCGACATTGCGTTTTGTAACCACTGTATCAGGCTACCTTAGATTATCGCGCATGCAACCGGGATTGTCATCATCTTACCACTGGCCAAGTGGGTAACGCTGCTCCAGCTGGCGCGGCGGTTGCAGGCTGATTGTGCGACTGGCCAGCTGAAACTGGCCAAAAGCGCCCCAAGAAGGGACGTCTGACCTTGCTCGTTGCCATCGGCTTACCGCGTACATTGTTTTTCCGTCTTGTTCTTGCACTTGCACCTAGCGTTGTTGTGTCTTGCATACGTATCCGAAATTATGGTTCCCCAACAACGGCCGCCGTCACGTGCACGGCGAGGTTGTCGAGGTCGACGGGTCGATCATAGGTAAGCCGCGCCACATGCATCTCAGGGACGCGCTACCCATCATGCGCCTCAATCGTCGCCATTCGACACGCTTACGACGACGACGACGACACCTCCGGACACGAATTCCGCATCTCCAACATCACGACGGCGGGTGGTGATTCTTGTGCGATTTTATTTCTATAGCCTTAGCCTTCTTATTCTACCGTTTCCCGCCCTCTTACTTGCTAGTTTGTGACATGGTGTGCGCCGCTGCACCCTGAAACTAGTCGTGCACCGGCTTCTTGTCCTCCGCATCCTCCCCCTTCTCCAGCCCGCCCATCCTCGATCCGCGCCATACACGGGGTTCGCAAGGCAGAAACATCCATTCCCTAATCGACCGCACCACATGCCCGGCCACTCGCTGCGCCCATAGTTATGGCCACGTTGGGCTCGCCCTCTCCCCCAATCTCACCCTCAAGAACCATGCGCCGTCGCGGCTGGGCCAGGAAGGTGGAGCGGTACTGCTGCACCGCCGTCACATACTTTCCGCTGGTCTTCGTCTACGGCCTGACGTCGTGGGCCGTATGGGTCCAGGCAGGCATCGGCTTTGTGCCCTCGAAGAATGTCTGGACGGGTGCGTCTCCTTTCTATATATATGTCACAATCCAAATTTATCCTACGTCCAATAAGACCACGTCACATGAAGTTGGGAAACTCGATTACTAACACGCTGGACAGGAAAGTTCTCGTCTACGCTCGGCATCTTCCTCTATCTCATGCTCAACTGGAGCTACACCACCGCCGTATTCACCGACCCGGGATCGCCGCTCAATATCAAAAATGGCTACAGCCACCTGCCGTCGCAAGAAGGAGGAGAGATGCAGTACACGTCCTTCACCGTCAAGGCATCCACCGGTGAACTACGCTTCTGCAACAAGTGTCAGTCCAAGAAGCCCGACCGCTCTCACCACTGCTCCACATGCAAGCGCTGCGTCCTGAAGATGGACCATCATTGTCCATGGCTGGCGACTTGCGTCGGTCTTCGCAACTACAAGGCTTTTGTGCTCTTCCTATTATACCTCTCTTTCTTTTGCTGGGTCTGTTTTGCGACTTCTGCGACTTGGGTGTGGAGTGAGATACTCAGTGATGGACAATACACTGAGTCCTTCATGCCCGTAAACTATGTCTTACTTGCCGTACTATCCGGCATCATTGGCATAGTCATAACAGGCTTTACTGCATGGCATCTATGGCTTACAGTTAGGGGCCAGACTACGATAGAAAGTCTGGAGAAGACGCGCTACCTCTCACCACTCCGGAACACGATGAAGCATCAGCTCAACGACCGAAACTATATGGATGCGCAAGCGAACGGACGTTTGAGTGTTGGCGACCAGTTGCGCGAGATTCACGCGAACGCTCTTCCGGGAGTGACCAGACCCGAGGAGGGCGAGCCGCCCTCTCGCTCTACCTCGCGCTCTCCCGTACCAGGCCATGCGAACGGTTACTCGCACCCGCACTACCAGTCCTACGAGTATCGGGAACGCCAGCAGTACCAAGACCGCTACGATAGCTATCTTGACGAGCGCGACAACGAGATGCTACCCAACGCCTTCGACCTAGGTTGGAAACGCAACATCGCGCATGTTTTTGGCCCTTCGCCGCTGAAGTGGTTCATACCGCTTGTAACCACAACAGGAGACGGGTGGTCATGGGAACCCAGTCCGAAGTGGCTGGCAGCACGGGAGCGGATAAAACGGGAAAGGGAAAGAGAAGAACAGATACAGAAGCAGCGTGAGCGCGCTGCTGGTTGGGGTGTTGATACTCCTACTGAAGCAGAGTTTAGGGGTCCCACTCGCGCTCCGAATGGATGGATGCCCGGCCAATATAGCCAGCCTCCCCCACGAGCCACCAGACGTCCAGAATGGCAAGCACCCCTTGGTCGCGGCGAGCAGACTCAATACCTTACCACTACCAACGGCATCGCGAAAGGCCCAATCGATGGACGAAGAAGTCCAAACAAAGCCGACCAAATTCTAGGGAGAGAACGCGGCATGTATGCTGATGGCGATGTTCAACTCCAGACGATCGACAGGAGAAAGTTTGACCAGTACAACTATATATCCGAAGACGAGGACGACGATTACGAAGTCTCTAGTGACGAGCAAGCGGTCGACCAGCGCAAAGCGCAAAAAGTACAGACCGTGACTGCGCCACCAAAAGGAACACAGAATTGGAATGACATACCAGACGGGTTTCTAGACCCGGCGCCAAAAGAGAGGAAGAAAAGTGCGAGTCGGGAACGATCACAACAACAGAAAAACGGGGAATGGGATGACTGGGGGACATGACACGTTGAGACGTAATGGATACGATGGCATGTTGGTATGTTGATATGTACATTCGGGTGTTGCATAGCATGGCGTTCCTCTTGTGGCGTTTTCTCGTTTTGCATAGGAATGGAGTTGTTTAGACGACTGTCATCTGACGAAAGCGAAAGAGATATTTTTTACCTCATGGCTTCTCTTATCTCCACATCACACGATATCAATTTTGCAAAACTGGTGGCGTGTAGTAGTAGATTATTGATTGACGGATCATCTTCTAGCCAAGCATCGACCCTGAGTCTGCGTACAAGCATTAATAGTAAGCGCCACCAACACTCATCTCCCGGTATCGTTCCTGCGCGCCGTGCCCCACTACATGCGCATGGGAAGGTTGATGAACAGCATCTTGGCGTTCTAGATTTCTGCATTCTAGACCCTGGAGACATTGGCAGCACCAACGCCGTGGCACGTGGATCCATCGTTGCGTTAATTTATTCCTTCATCTTCCCTTGCTCCTTAGCCAGGACCCAACCCGCCCAATACTTCTTCAACCTCACCGGCTGTTTGTACTCCTCATGACCGTAATCTCTTTAATGCCGCTTTTCGGGTCCAATCAACCCGAGGTTTAAGTTGAAAGAACATTAGGGCTTTTTGGGCATTATGGCAGCTCCATTCTTCTAAACCTAGTACTGCACAGCGGTAGGTCTCATGACACTAGGGGATTGTCAGCGCTCAGTTCTCATCTCGTGGTGGTAAAGGGAGAAGACTGGCGATGTAGGTCCTGCGATGGTGTATTAGTTGGTTGATGGATGAGTCGAAAGTGAGGTTGATCGTCTTTCCTGGCCATCTTTCTGCGCCTTACGAGGACCTGTATCATCGTCTGGAGCCTGTGTCGTGATTGGAATTCGGCAGATCATTCGGCACGTCAGTGATTGCTGCTGGAGCGAGCAAACTATTACGAAATTCTCAGTATATAACGACCATGCTCTGCTTTTCGCCATGCACTCATCAATACCTTGACCCAAGATGAGCGTGAACTCAACAAATAGAGCCAAGCCCGTCACCTTAGCTGACTACCGAACTCTTACCTATGTAGAATTGACCGCCGACACTGTCTTTGGGTCTGGTTACGACATAGCCGTCCTCGTGCACCAAAGTCATTTCGACTCGAATGACTATCTTGCTACCCTTACTGCCCATTCCACCAGCCCAGCGCCCGGTCGGCCTCAGCTTGTAGATCTTGGACTGCATAGCGGAACAACGAGAGAAGAGGCATTGCTGGGCCTGTTGCATACCCTGGAAGAAATGGCAGTCAAGAGAAGTAATGCGAACAGAATGAAGTCGAAGAAAGAGGATACAGAAAACAAGCAGAAGAGTGGGCAGCTGATAGAAGAGATGGTGGAGGAGCATAATGAGGAAATATGAGAACAAAAATGTAATCCAACCATCGAATAGAGAAGGGAGGAGCAAATTTACCGCAGTAGGAAAACTAAAAAGTTGCGTATTCCCAGCGATAGTACTTATCAGCATGACATAATCTTTGCGTTGCAACATGACAGTAAGTTAATACAGAAGTAGTACGAACTATATTAGTCTGACTATAACCTTCATAGTCCTCTGATGATGGCACACACGATGGGATCATACGATTGGAGAGCTGGGGACCATCCCCCGAACCTCTTTTCCATACGTACATGTTGCATGTTGAGCAGCTTCGATGTTGTTGGATCGCTCCCACCGCTACACAAAGTTTGCTGCCTCGAATGATCACACTTTTCCACTCTCCCGCCTCACTGTGTAACCAAACAAACACATTCTCGTACTCCCTTAAACCCTGCAGATGACACTATCCTTCACCGGTTTCTCGCCATATAGATCGTTCTTCAGTTGCTCTTTTCCAGTTCATCCTGGTGATAAAGACTAGGTACAAATGGATTCTCTAACGGCAAATATACCGGAGCGCCTAAGCCGATCCCGTGAACCGCTTCCAAACTTGCGAGGTGAAGACGAGACTGAGATAAGATATCTTATTGATCTGATCGAGAGTAAGTAGCAAGAAAACCGTAACGTCACCTCCGCCATACACTGACGGGCAACCTCTCAGCGCAATCATGGATTCTGTCACCTCTCAAGCCACCCTCCTGCATCCTAGGACGTCATCCACCACCTAAAGACCCTAATTCCTCTAAACAAAAGATCATTGACCCTTCTCTTGCGTTTTGTGCTTCGCTCTACAGCATCGGTCAAGGTGGGGTCAGGAGCTTGGAAGTGGGTCCTGAAGTGGGAAGGAGCCGAAAAGAAGCACTAGAACGGCTATTGGAAGTCGTGGAGATGGAGATCGGACGCATGATGTTGAATGATGATTATCATGCACGCAAGGTGGCGAAGGACAGTAACAGTTCCATTGGAAGTAGCGGTGTTAGCAGGACTGAGAGGGGGTAAATGTTCTTTGGGGAAAGAAGGACCTAGTTCAATATCCTCGTGATGGTCTTGGTGGGAAGAAACTAAATCGCTCTTCTATTGCTCTTGTATTCTGTGTGGGATAGGTATCGGCCAGTCCCAATTTTTTTCACCATGTTGTGAAAGTAAGATCGCCACATCACCTCTTCTTCTGTCGATTCACTATCACTCTCACTATCATCATCACTATATCTCTCTTCTTTTTCATCTCCATCCTCGGCTTCATTCTCGCTTTTCTGACTTCACTCATCCGTCGTTGCTGCATAATTCATGCTCTCTTATTCCCGTCTCTCCTTCCTTCAGGTTTCCTTGAGGATTCTTTTCCATCGTCTGGAACGGTATCTCAGCAAGCGATTCCACTTTTTCCAGCAGTTTCAAAAGCACTTCACCACGTGAACTTGCCACTTCTATCTTTGTGAGAGGACGGATTATCATACCGCGCCTCGTACCTACAGAGGACAGGACTGCGGCACGGTACTCAACCTTGTCTTGTTCGTCCAGGCGACGACTCAGATAAACGGTGGCAGACGTGTAGCTAGGCCAGAGAGAAGAAACGAGAATATTGAGGAACGTGAGTGTATTGACGTCTTCCGGTAGTACAGGTTGGCTGGTCATGTTCAAAGTAAGAAGTAGAGGATGACGAAGAAGTGTTGAAGAGGCCTCCTGTATTGAGACGAGATCCTTATACTTTTGTTAAAATGGAGATTGCCTGCTTGATTGTTAAACCAATCAGTTGTAGCAAGATACCCGATGTCCTTTGCTACAATCAGACTGTTCGAATGATACTTGTGGTTCGAGAGAGCAAGCCACTCGTCCAACATATGATCTCATTCGATAGCCTATCGACAAGAGTACCACAGATCGCCGTACTCATAATTACCATGGCGTATGAGTCGTCCAACGAAACAGACCCTCGTTTGCCAACAACAACCATTGTCGCCAGTGATGTTAGGAACCACGATGATGTCCTCTTCAGCTATCTGCAAAGTACAACTCCCTCCTGACCAAACCTTGTGCCATGCTGACCCTGTAACAGAGCTTGTTACATCCACGTTCCGCCCATCGGTACACCCCGTGGTTCTTATGGGCAGTTACGAAAGCAGGTCGAGAGGGGAAACCGTCCAGAACTTCCGTGCAAGTGTTGTTGGCTGGGATGTCTTGGATGCTAGCGAGATGTTCTTCATCTCGCCTCAGGAGGGGACAGATCGCAAGAGTGCGCTGATGGCTGTGATCAGGTTGGTAGAACAGGAGGCACACAAAAGAATGGCGGAACTAGAGGCTAAGATCGCACACCCCCTCTGACGTACGGACGATCCACCCGAGAGGGGGGTTTTAAAAAGAGTAGGAGATAGAGGTGCCTTTCGAGGCTTGTGGCAGTGATGAAATCCAAGTAAATCTTTAAAGCTTAGCTTTATCATCCAACAACGGAAGGCCAACTGCCTCTTCCAGCTCCTTTACGGCATCCTTGGTCCTACCCAGGTTCACCTTGATTGTTCTCAATCCCGTCTTCTTCGCAAATTTAAGATTTATGCCAATATCGTCCAAGAAGAGCGTGTCGCCTTCCGTCACCCCTCCCATTCCCTTCTTCCTCGCAATCTTATCCATCTCACGTACCGCCAGCTTGTACGCCTCCGGATCTGGCTTTCTGACACCCACGGCCGCCGAACCAAGGAAGATGTCGAAACACGTCGTAATGTCTGTGGAGTCGTTCGCGTAAGGGTTTGGAGCTGGTGGGTGGACAAGCTCTTTCGTGAAGAGCTTCCCTTCCTCGTCGAGGATGCCCGTAGGGAACGTAACGTTGTTGCTGAATGCGCCCAAAACGAATTTCCCGCTCTCGCCTAGCTTTCGTAGCGCAGGATACATGTACGGATCTGGTGCCCGACTGATCTTCATCATACGCCAGAACAACGTCTTCGCATCAATGTCCGGTACCTGCGGATTCCCGCCCTCGATTGCCTGCCCGCCACCGACGCTCTCCTGTTGCGCAAGCTTCTGGAGGAATTGTGACCAGACCTCTGGTCGCATCAACTGTTTCTTAAAGGATGCGAACCAGTCGTCATTAAGTTCAACTTCGCCGCGCTCGATGAGTTGCCATGCGCCCGTATCGTGAGGTCCTTTTTGGATCGCGTAGTTTACGTAGCCGATGGGGATCTTGTTCTCGATTTCATAGTCGAGGATCGCTTGGAAAGGACTTATGACCTGTGGATGAAAACGTTAGCTACGTTCGTCTGGTCGTGTGTGGTGCTGAAGGGCGGCGTGGGTCGTGTTGAGGAATTACGTACGACTACTCCACCAATGTCGAAAAGAATAGCCTTCGGGGGCTTAGTTGAAGATGTCATAATGTGTGTATGTTGACAGAGTTGTCAAAAATCGCTATGAGGGTATCATGGTGGTCTGTACGGCATCGTCATGGTCGGCATTGGGAGAGTCGTGAAGTGTCCAGGTACCTCGGCAATGGATAAGCTCTATCGATAGCGCTAGTCCCCGCAAACAGTTCAACCTCACAATGTTCTGTAGATCACTCATCACCCTCTGTTTTGTGAAGTGTTTGATGAATGAAAGGTATTTGATGATATATTTCATAGAACTGAACCAAGACAGAAGAAATCCTTGTTGTACCCAGCACCGCAGGCAAGCACTACCAGTATGAACAACATCTTAGAACCGATCGAAGCTACATGCTGTATCACTCCAGAGTCGATTCTTGTATCGAAACTTGTTGTTTTGCGGTCACAGTGATGATCCGTCCACCTTTCGGATGGCAAAAGTGTGTATAGTAGTTTGAGCCATAGCCGCTGGTTCTTTGGGTGGGAGGCTCACGACAATCTTCCCCTTCTGCTTTCCGCCAGATAGAGAGTCAAAGATGGCTTTGCTCTGCCCCCACATAAAATCTTGTTCCGGCTCAGTGTTCATTTCCGAAGCCAGGAGGCTGGACATTGCGCTGGCCAGTCGCGTGTCATTTTGCGGCAACCGGACCTTAGGATGCTTCCGATCCGTCAGACCTGGGCCATTGTGCAGTCGCGAACGAGAGAAGTCGACACCTGTCGCAAAATGCTGGACTCTATTGATCACTCTATCGAGTTGCCCACAAGGCCCGACGCGCTTTTGACTGTCGATGTACTCCAAGTGTTGGCGGCGCTGGCATTCAAACTCAATACGAGCCTTTGTTGTTTCGTACAAGTAATTTTGATCATCACCAACAGGAAAGAGATGTATGAGCATGCGCTCGAGCGAACGAGACGGAATGAGTCCTAGTGCACTAAAGTAGCCAATGTTCACAACCAGCTGATCAATGACTACGGCGCTCTTGATGAATGCAGGGACAAGAACCTCGACATCAGCAATGGTAACCGGTTTCCAAAGGAGATGTTCTAGGAGGCGACGTTCGCCCGTAGACGGCATTTCACCCATAATTTGTTTCATAAGCGCTAGAAACTAGAGTGGTACGTCTACTTCCACGCTGTCTGTCAGATCAGCTGAACCTGGCGGATAGTTGGAAGCAATCGCTTCAGAAGTCGGGGAAGAGCAAGTGGAGGACTCTGGTGTTGTTAGATCGATACGAAACTGGCATCTAAAATGACCTCCTAGGCTAAGGGATACCACCTGCGACTCAAGTGTGGACATCTCAATAAGATTATCTATCTTGAGGGGCCTGAGAATCACGGTGAGGCTAGACCGTCGAAATGTAGATGATGATCTATATTAGAAGTAACCCCCCTGAGGCTACATCAAACCAAGTGCCGGTGTTTGGGACACTGTATGAAAACATGGTCGCTTATTACATAGAAGGAGTCAATGGCGAAGAGGGCGAGCATAATACTCGTTGTGAAACAGAACATCATCATAGACCGTACGACATGTGATAGAACACGGACGCTGTAACGGAGTATGTACACAATATTCTGTAGAGAGAAGACTCCTCGGAACGAGATGGCAGAATATAGAGGCCACAGGCAGGGAACAATAGATATCCCACGCATATCTCACGGGATACCCCAAGTGTGACAAAAAGAACTTCGTACACAAAGGCAGCTTACACCCTTGTAAGCAAGGAAGGTAGCTTCGCTAGCATATAAGAACCCTTGGCTTTCTCGGAAATAGAGCGGCCAATGATCTTAGTGGCCCGCCGGAAGCGCTTTACTCGCGAAGCGTTCACTGGTTCGTGGAGAATGCGCTTGCGTTGCTGGTACATAGCGGCAGCTCGCTTGGTGCCCCTGTTGACGCTTTCCAACATCCTGTTTGGAATTATGAAGCTAGGGGTGACATATTGTATCAGTATCTTGTTGAGATTCTGGTACAAAAAGTGTTGTATCTCGCGATCCATTGTCTATTGCGCACACATGAACGCTGGACAAATGCTATGTTTGTAAATCGCCACTTATGGTGGAAGGTGCCAACGAGGGAGCGGAATCAGGATCAACCGCAAGATGATTGCGCAATGCACCGACTGTATTGCAAGGACCCATGTTCATGCGTTTAGTGAAGGTTTTCGTCTGAAGCGCAACAAGACAACATCCACTTGCGTAGCTGCCGAAAGCTTGATCTGGTCTCAAAGCGAGATAGCGCGATTGTGTAGAAGACTCCACTGACTGGAAAACTTCTATCCGCTCGTGGCGGGCGGTACTATAGAGTGTACTCAGATATATGAATGTTATCCCGACCTGCTTGCTGTTGCTGAGAGAATCAGGTGTTAAGCATCCCAGGTCAGCTCGTAGCCGAAGACAGTCCGGCGAAGAAGTTCATCCTAGGTTCGGTCAGTGACGCCTCAAGATAAATCATTAGGAGAGCCTCACCCCTGGATCTTCCTCGAACATAACCTTCTCCATGACTTTTTCGAACGTCTTAGTGACGGTGAATCCCGATTCTTTAGCTAGGTCGAAGAAAGCCATGTCCTTCTCGTACAACCATGGGCGATATGGTGTAAAGAAGACGTATGCTCGGGATGCCGGTGACTTCTTGAGAGTCAGCTGCACAGTCTTGATGAGTTTGGTATGCTCCGAGTGGTTGAAAAGAAGGTCGGCAAGAATGAGAACATCGAAGCCTGAACTATCAGGCAGATACTTCATCAAGTCATCGGTAGGTGCACCCCAGAGATATCCCTGTGCGCATATTAGTGACGTCCGCCAATGTTGAGCACAGTCACAAACCTCCGCCACAATTTTGGGAGGCTTAGACAACAGTTCGCAGTGGTCAACATTGTACTGTAAATTCTCGACCAACTCGGCATCAGGATAGTCCGTGACGACCGTTTGAGCGGCACCGTTGAGAGCACAGACAAGGCTTGGAAGTCCCGCTCCAGCGCCAAGCTCAAGTACCGTTCGATCTTTTACGAGTTTGTCTGCATGCTCTTCCAGGTAGTCGGATATGGTTCGCCCCGCGTTCCATAGAAAATGTCCCTGAATACGTCAGTGAGTATGCTGAGATAGTGCATGACCGTCAGAAGTCAGATGAGTGCCGAATCGCTTCTACGGTCCTTCTATAAAAGCTCCAGAAGGTTGGAAACCAACGCATAGGACGTCAGGAAGTTCCATATTGTGTTTCGTCATGTCGCTAGTCAAGTGCATAACTTACCCACAAAGGATTATGACCGACCAATCGAACAGTGAGCCCTTTGCCGGAAAGCAACTGATGAGTCGCGAAGGTTGCCTGCTTTTCTGGTTCATAGAAATCAGCAGGCTCTTGGAACAGGTCCAAACCCTCTTCACCGGCTTCTGACGACATGGCGGAAGGCAAGTTGTGATGAAGTTATGGCCTTGGCGAAGACTGTATTTTGGGTGTTTCAAAGAGCGGAGCCACCACGGATGGCACGTGCCCGGTTAACCAGCCACCGCTATGCCTGTCCAAGTCGCGTTCCAGATAAACTCCATCTTCGAAACAGCGGACCGTCGTCATCAACGAAGTCAGAGGGCTGGCCAAACAGTACCCTGTGACTATAGCAGGGTCTACAGCTCCCTTGTTGGGCTGTAGCAGTGGGCGTTGCACCAGCCCTATGGCGTGGGAGTGCCTCAGGTGGCCTCAGAGCGAAGTAACTCAATGATACCCGGCCTACCAATCGCGCCCACACTGATCGAATTATCGCGGTACTCACATGCCTGAAGCGAGCCCAAGCCAAGCAGGGTCCAGCCGGCGCAAGATTCCCCACGCCCCAATGATATACCCGGCGGCCGCAGCGTCGTTTCCACGGTTCTTCTGACCACAAAACACGCCGGCGCAGGTGCTGCTCTTCGTGGATCGCGTTCGCTTTATTCGCATCGCGCATACCTCTTATATCGCGACACCTCCTTCACTTATCCCTCCTATTGAGGACACAATCCTTGCTGTCTATTTCTCGATTGTCACCTTTCTACTTGTGCCGTTTCGAAGCGACTAAACCCGCTTAGTAAGAAACTTGCTCAACGCTAAGGGACTAAGCCTAATCCAACCCTCCGCCAAACATCGCATCCATTCAGTTCACGACAAACCTTCGAGTGCCGACCAGCAGATCCCACGCCTTTGACGCCTTAAGTCCCGAGTCATTCATCAGTCTAGTGGGGAGGTGTGACATCTGCGTTTTCTCGCGGTATTGAACTGGATATTTGCACGTCCCACCAACCGCTGAGCCCTGTCAAGTCATCAATTCTCCAGACCGTATCCTGGGGGATAATCCAGTGAAACCAGCGCCTGATTCCGCTGGCTCTCGATTGTAGACCCCGCCACTTTAACCGTGTGCATGTCCGACGTCCCCCCGGACATTCGATCCACCCTTCATCCGTTCCGAGCTCAGGATTGCTATTGCATCAATCAACGCCTGTGCTGATACAGTATTATCACCGACACTGCGGAAAGCCGGCGCCAAATCTCAGGGTTATCAACGCTCCACCCGCCTGGAGCTGGACCCTTCACAGCTCACTTAGGCCAAGCCGAGGGCCGAGTCTACCTTCTCTTTTGGACACCCACGTCGGACCACTCCCGAACCTGTAGGCTACTTTCCCATGCGGCGAGGGTCATACGTCTAGCCCAGGACCTTGCCACCCCATTTTCTGCGCTGCACGCCACTGTACCCCTCTGCAATACTTTCACGTGCGCGGTGTACAGTAAGCTTGGACATAAGCTCTTTCTCACCAGCAGTCTTATTTCGTCCCCGATACACGGCGTATTTGGTGGTTACATGCCGTAGATTGAGCAAGTTATTTCGACCTCATAATAGCCCCGCATCATGTGGGCCGAAGTCAACGGAGAGCGCAAGAAGGTCGCCTGGTAGGTTCTCTCATCTGTTTGTTCCACCCCTCATCCTGTCTTATTTTACTATATCCTCTCTACCATTTGTTGCGCGCAAACTGCACCTATCCGGAAAATTCTTTAGCGACTGCGACTTGCATTGCACTGTCCAGGGTGTCTATTCGCCATATACTTTGACTGACATTGATTAGCGGTCCGTGCATTCGCGGTCATCGCTCGTCGAAATGCGATCACCGAGATCGAGTGCTGGTTGAGGTCCGGAAGCCTGGTCGGCCGCTGAGTAGCTGTCCACATCCCACTGGATCCTGTAGTTGCGAGCGTGTTGTTATCAACTACACGATTCCCAAAACGTCAGAATGTGCTTGTCCGTCAGAACGAGCTCCGCCCACAGCTACCGTTGCAGGAAACAGTCGGATTACGAAGAGTAGGCGTAAATCGGCTGCGCCCACCCCTTACAACCTCGAGAAGGCTATCCAGGCTGGCTTCGACGCCAAAACCGAAACCTCATCCGTCACGTACACACCCTCCGAAACAAGCAATAGCAATGGAGCATCACTTCCGTCAAGTGCGAGCTCAACGCCACGTCTTCTCCCTGCACAGAATGAGCCCGTCTCAAGTTGTTGCAAGCCAAAGCCAGTCCTATCGCCGGTCCAAGAAGGAGGGTGCTGTGGCAGCAAGCCGAAGCCAGTTGTAGAGCCGCCAGTTCAAAAGAAGTCTTGTTGCTCATCACGCAAACAAGAAGATGCGCCTGTGAACAGCCAATCACACGGTTATCAACACGTGGGACACCAGTTCCAGTTTCCCGCCCAAGCAGTGGTTCCACAGTACCAGAACTTTCATCCACAAACACCATCAGCTGCGTCGAACCCTTTCGGCCTTGGCACTCCAATCTACAATCATGCGGCTGCAGCCTACCATCGGCAGAACTCTGTGTCTATGAGCCCAGTCACGAACAATTCGATGTCTCCGTCTGTCGCCAGTCCCCAAATTGGGCAACACGTCCCTGAACACAATTGTCACTGTGGAGAGTCATGTAGCTGCTTTGGATGCGCAGCCCATCCCAATAACGCTACGATGATGGAGTATGTCCGGATCATGGCCCATTTTCAATACAACGGCGGGTTCGGAGGCATGGCGCCACCTCTCTACGACATGCCTACATACCCACATCAACCCGGATACGGAGCGGAAGCCAACATGAGTTTCAACGCAATGCAGCAGGGCTTAACAACACCTACACCAACGCAAATGAGCTTTCAGCAAAGCATGGATATGCCAAATATGGTGCAGGTACCAATGGCATTGCCCGGGAACTGGCCACAACAACTAACTCCTTCACCAAGCCAACCACAGCAGGCTCAATTCTCGACTTCGAGCAGCCTTAGTTACAACAGACCTCCCATGCCGGCGCCAGGTGATACAAAAACGCGGAAACCAAGTGACGCCATGGATTCACCCGCAGCCAGTAGTCCCAGCGATACCAAAGATGAAGATACAGTGACGCTATCGCCATCATCCTACTTCTGGAACGAAATGACCTTGCCAAGCTGCTCAGACGCGTCTGGTACTTGCCAATGTGGCGATGGCTGCGCATGTGTTGGTTGTCTTACACATGGCGGTCACACCGGTGAATCTCTCGATGACACTGGAACAGCAGCGGAACATGATCCGTTCCTCAGTTTCGACACAAGCCTCGCGCTCAACATGAACGACCCAACGGATTTTCTCAACTTCAATCCAGATCCGAGCTGAGACACTTAGCCACTAAACCGTTTTTTCCTGCCTTGGTCAATGACGATCATTTTGCCTCACATGAAAGCGAAGCGCGATTGCGCGAAGCTTACCGGGATATACACCAGAATTATGCCCACCTTGTACACTTCAAGAAGCGATACAGGCGACAGGCGTTCAACCTTTTACCATGACAACTCCGCCGGCACAACTCGTTGTGTGATCACAACAATGAGGCAGTGTTCACTTCGTCATATGCTGCATCTTCTATCTTCTTCATTTTGTATATGTTCAGCGTCACCCACAGCGCAGCTATGGGTTAGATACTTTTGTATGGGCATGGGAGGGTAGGAGCCTGTTTCAGCGTGGTAAGAGAGAGTTTTCTGGCATATAAGGAAGTTAGTGTATGAACTGTATGAGTTTTTCCGTCGGTGTGTTCGTACGATACCCCCGCATCGGGCGGATAGCATAGTGAAGTGAGATTTGGTCTTCATGCTGCTCATAAGCTTAATGGAATTCTTCCTTGTATTATTGTTCTCACTCTATGATTGCGAGATGTCATGCTGTACCATTCCATCCACGAGTTGAAGTGAACTGTACGAGGAGAAGGGCTCTTCCCGGGAATTGAATACGAAAAGATGATCCATCACCAACCCGTTCAAGGAACAATACTCGTAGAGATCTCAGTACCATTGCTAACAGAAGAGAAAACTATCTGCATATCCGAAGAAAGCTAGTTGGTAATTCGGTTCAAGAAAACCGAAACCTCCTCCAAAAGTTCCGTCGAGATCGTTGCCGCAGTCCGCCGGGCCTTCGACATTGTAAAATAATTGACCGGTGATACATGAGCCTGCTGAAATAGGCTGACGTGGGAGTGGTAGATGGTGCAAACAATGTCGTAAGAGCCAGAGATCTAGTACGATCACAACATGAAAGGCGAGTCGACAGTGAGGTACATGAACGTAACACTAGACGGGGGGCGGGTATACTACCCGTCCGATAGTACAACCATGAGATCGCCATGTTTAATCCCGGCCTGTTCTTATTAGCACTTTTTCTTCTCAGATCACACTACAGTAGGGCATACAGTGCAGCCCCGATCCGGGTCTTCCCAACATGTGTCGCCTTCACACCACTGGTTTGTCGCGCTCTTGTACCTGCAAGGAGAGACAACACCATCACCAACGAAAGTGATATCGTAACCGAGTCGCTCTTGCTTGCATAGTTCGTTCTGCTTTATGCTGGAGAAGCCCTCGTTCGCTGGACCATCGTCGAAGGATGTTCCGAAGACTGCGGGTGCCCAGTTACCCTTACCCCCCATCGGTGTACCCCAAGTGCAAGCCTCACTTTCTGGTACACCCTGTTTATTGACGTAGTACTGAGCCGATGTTTTCTTACCTTGCCAGAAAAAGTATTTCTGCTGATCAGGGTTGGCTAGGAAGCCAGTCTCTCCAGGGCCGACAGTGACTGGGAAAGTCATGGACTCAGTGCCTACTGTACGTGAGTGATTATCTAGGGTTTGTGAGCAGATGTCATACCTGGATAATCTGTGCGGCAGAAAGAGACGGATTTTGACAGCTTGTTTTGCACCTTCACGCCCATATGCTGTGATCCTTGCACGCATAGCGTGTCTGCGATTTTGCCGTCGGCCATCTCCAGAAACCCGTCTTTGTTGCAATACAAGCCACCGACGCTCTGACCTGTTCTACCTTGGATAGAGGGGAATGAAGCTTTGAGGTAGGGGTTAGGGCAACCATAGGAACAGAAGCTACCAGTCGTGCAGCAAGTGCCGTCTGAACACGACCCCTTTGGGACGGTAGTAATGTCATCGAAGCCATCTGCTCCGGCATATTGGGGATCTTGGATACCCGACCAGCCTCCCAAGCCTTCTTGAGCTGTAGGTAAAGCGCCATAGCCGTAAGGGAACTCTGTACAAAGGATCGTGCCGTCCGGGAATTTCCTGTCGCACTCCGCACAGTGACCATCATTATCGACCATGTCTGCCCAGGGCCTCAACGAAGCGCCCGACTGCTGTACAGGCGGCGTATCCTGGGAAGGGCTTGGTGCAGGGTTGATGGGTGGCGTCTCTGGTGGTGCAGGCTTCTGAGGTTCGGGTGCGACAGGCTTGAGCTCGTCCACAGGCTTCTCGGGAGTAGGTCCTGGTGTTGGCTTGGGAACCTGAATCTCATGATCGGAGGCTGGAGGCGGAGTAGGCAATGCAACAGGACTGCTAGTTGATGTCGACAAAACACCATCGTTTCCCCACATCAAAGTGCCGTTGGTAATACCCTGGTTGACTTCTTCCTCTGATATCTCGTGATCATCGAGCCAGTACACGATCTCTGTCTCCACTGCCGCAGGTACGAAGATAGTGCCACGCTTGGCCGGACCATGGGCGTGGACGCGACGGTGCAAGTGGTGCGGCTTAGCCGCGGTGACTGCAACAAGCGCAGTAGCAGTAACTATATACTGGATCTTCATGGTAGGCTTTTGCAAGACACTTTTTCTGGATGTCACTGACAACTTGTCCCATCGCAGTCAGCGTAGCAGAGAGCAAGGTGGAAGAGCGACTGACTTGTTATTTCCGTACAAATAAGTACTTGCTGAACGCTTTTGACAGATGCTTGAATATCGAGATGCTTTTTTGGCTCTTTCTGGTGTTCGCTGCGCCGTGGAGTGCACGAGAGAGTGGCGGAGTAGTATACTGGTAGTGTCTAATGAGTGAAATGGAGATACAACTCTGGGTGGAGGCACGGAAGAATGACCGGTGAAGCGTGAAGGCGGATGGGTCAAGTTTGGCTTACGGAAAGTCCACGAAGATAGTACGAGGGCACAAGAGCGAGAGTGAGGTGAGGGTTGTTTGTACTGTGACGCCAAGACGGGGGCTCGCTAGCGTGGCTGCTTCGTTTGCACAGGAGCGATGAGATGGCTATGCGCCTGCTGGGTTCTAGAGTGTCAAAAGAATGGGCGAATGCCGGTCACTCAAAGTGGAAAGAGCATTGGGTATGACCAGAAAGAGTGCATACACAACTTAGAGATATCTTGAATCAGATACAACGTGAAAGGAGTGAACATGAAGACGACGATCAATTCAATGGCATGAAGAGGAAAAGTAACAACCAGCGAGAGATTACCAATTTCAAGGACGGCTAACTGATACTACCGTTCTGGCTAGTGGCACAACTGCGTGGCATAGGTACCTACCTAGGGAGGTGCTCTCCAAGCAGACTATCAGCCTGTATCACGTACGTACGTGTACGAGGGAGACGACAGTGCACCTCCTTGGTCGACCTACAGAGGTAAATAACCTTGAAACCATACACGAAGAACATTTCGTCCATAACAGCATGGCATCGATCGACTAGGGGACACTGAGTTCCTAAGAATGTTTCGATCTGAACACGGCTTCGGTTCACGCATGAACCGGTTCTTCCTACCGACGTGTCGTGCAATGCCGAATTTCCGCTAGACCGCAAATAGCTATTTGCGTTCATATTGCACGAGTAGATTTACCGTGTAGAGAGAAAGCTAGAAACGCGTGAAGGACAAGAAATTTCTAAATGACGTTTCTAGCGTACCAGGGACAGCCTCAGCAAGCCCTTGACTACAGCGCTTGCCCTGCTATAGGTATTCGATGGCTTTTTTCGACGCCTTCTAGTGTAGTACTAATTCCCCGATGTTACTGTCGTATTGATTCTTGAGATATGCAGAATGTATGTACACTCACGATAATTTGCGTAACCTGGGCGAATAATGACTGACCTCGTGAAGTAGCGCGTTGGCTTGGATTCAACTCGATGCATAGTGATGTCTGCGCGGCAGCATACGTAACAGCCCCTGCCTTCTTTCACGAACGTCAGTACTTGGGATTCATACGACCACACAGCATCCATCGTGGAAGCGACGTTGTAGCGCGCGAATTACCCGGAGCTCGTGCTCCATGCAGCCCTGTTGTCGAGTGTGACGGGCGCAGGCGCAGCAGTCTGTATCAGGTACAATACGATCATGAGACCTGCGGTAAGACACGATGTCGATGCGACGATATGTGATGGTGTTGATGAATGAATGTTGGAGGAAGCGATGTGACGAGATGAGATAGTTGTGCGCTCATCATTGGAGCCCCACATGCTCTTTAGCACGCAGAGCTAATATGGTGCCACAACATGACCAGCCATGTTTCGTGACTGCGACACCGTTATCGACATGTGTTTCATGGACCTACGGCAAAGACTTTGGTAAGAATGGTTGCTTCAGGTATGTACAGACTCTGGCGATACCTCTCCATGCAAACGGCTCCTTTCCAGCACCAACTGCGCCGTGAGTACAATGAATTATCCAATCAGAAGAAGCTCATCTCTCGAACTGCTGCCAGACAAGTGACCTAGACTTGCTGAATATAGTTGGCTGGTACACTACGTACTATGCCATCCTTCTCAACGTCTGCCCAGCCGTCGCCAGCCTCCATGTTGATAAGAACAAAACGATCTCCTTCTGACATGGAATGTTCTACGTCGCTTTGCGCTGTGTATTCATACAAGGCTTCCACGTACTTCAGCTTCTTTGCGCCACGCTTTGGCGCAACGGCGGGACCCTTCTTCTTACCGGGAGCGGCAGCCGCAGTGAAGTTAGTGGTTGATGCTGACGATGCAGAGTACGTCGAGTCCGGCCTTGTTGAAGAGAATGTAGAGGCCGTGGTTGGTGGCGTTGCCACCGTCATCTCAACATACGCTGCTGGAACAAGACCTTCCTTGACGCCAGCACGAACTTTCATCCATCCGGAACCGTCTGTGGCAATGTGTTAGTGAATCGGTTGATAACCCCTAGGACGTCGGAGACATCTAATGACATACCATCAGGTTCTAGAATGGCAACGTCCGTGCCATCCGCAACAGTCAGTTCGCCCTCCCCATTCTCTTGATAAGCGTATAGCATTCTACCCCTGGCTTCTGCAGACTTGGGTGGGAGTGGAGGAACATCCTCGTCGTTTTTGACATATTGTGTAGGTGGTGGTGCAACCAATCGGTTCTTCCTAGCACCCGGCACTATGGGCGCCTTCTTCTCTGGTGGTGGAGGAGTCTCCTCGACAGTGGGCGACATACCTCCGGATATGGACCGGTGCGCAGTCGCCGAATAGCCGGAGCTGAGGGTGTTCATGGAGTTCACCGTGTCGCTTCTTCCCAGTCGGGGCATGTCCGCATTAGAGCTCGTCGCAGTGCCGTTTGTTGCTGTCACTGTGTGTGCAGCCTTTTGCCGCTCTTCCTTCAATTTCTTCTTTTCTACCTTGGACTGTTCACCAGGACAGTCGGCAGGTACCTTCATCTCGCACTTGCTATGGCACGTATAGCCGCAATCTTGACAGTCATATCCTTTTGCTGATAGACCCCATATCCGATCTCCACATAGATCACAGTTTGTAGGTATCTTGAACGTCTGCGACTTGAAGTTGTGGTTCCTTGCGCCGATACTCAAGTCACCGACGACTGAGGTGATTGTTGAGACTTCCACTTCCGCATTCACCTTCTGACGTTCCACCTCATGCATCTGTTCCTGTATAGCAAAAACAGCGCGAACAATATCCACCTCGTCTCTTTTGTCCTTGCCATCTCTTATCTTCTGCCGTACCGCCTTGGCATTCTCAACTTCTTTGCGCTTCTTGTCAAGTTCTCGTTTATATTCCCCCAAGGATGTTTTTGATTTGGTGAGAACGTTGCGCAGGAAGATCGTTGCAGGCTCGTCGACGGCGATACTATTATCGTCTAGCCAAACCGGGCTGGGCTCGAATTGAAAGTCGCCAGGCTCTTGGAACGAACCAGCGTTGTGCCGTAGGAACATCATCGAGTCGAGCAGAGGGTTGTTGCGCGGAATCTCGCCGGAGAGGTGCTTCAGATACTCGGTGCTTCGCGTGAGTGTCTGAGTTTCGATCTGTGCAGCGAGTGACCATATAGTATTTAGCTTATTGACTCGCGTCTCCGAAAGATCCTGGAGGCTATCGAGCAGCTCAGGCACGTACTCGTGGTAGTACATCTCCTTTTGCTTGTTGGTCACGTTGATACTGATGAGATAGGTGTTCTTGACGTTACGCATCTCGATCTGTTGCTGTTCGAAAGCATTACGTGCCTTGGCTTTGCCGTGGTCAAATGCGCCATCAACCTTTTTGCGCCGGCTCTCAACCTCCTGGCAAACGCTATCGTATTTACCCTTTTGTTTGCGCAACTCACCATATTGGTTGTCGCGCTCCTTCTCCAGCTTGGCAGCATAGTCTCCGTGCAACTTGCGCAACTCTTCGGTCCGTGTACCAAGGACCTTCAAGGGGTCAGCAAGCTGGGTGATGAGAGCGCCAGCGAATTGTTCGTGTTCGGCGGCGCGCGATTCGAGGGTGCTCAATTGGACACCCCATGTAGTCATGGAAGCGCTGCAAGGATGTGTCAGGAAGGCCTAAAGTCATGCGACAGGAGTCGTACCTCTCGAGCGAGCCTGGAGTAACGGTAGGCGTGTCACCAACGCTCAGACTGCTCTGCTTCTTCGCCTTCTTTTCATAGTATTTCTTCGCGAGCGCGCTGAGTTTTGCCGAGTATTCCTTCTCTATCGCGCTTCGTTCGCGGTAGAATGCTTGGATGTCGTCGAGCCAGGAGATGCCACCGGAAACCTGCAATCGCGTACATCAGTAACGTGAAGCGCAACAGACGTAGCCAACAGCGCCTATACAAGGGTCACTCGGAAACCCATAGGAAACGTGTATGACGTACCCAAGCGTTGACTGTCTTGAAGCCATCCTGTGATTATCCGTCAGCGCATGCTCGGTGGTGCCGCTCCAACTCCGCATACCTTTAGTTCAGCGCCGAACTGGGGCGCAATGTCGACCTCCATGATTCCTATGATATTTATGGGTCGAGCACTTGGAGAGAGGGGACTAGGACCCCAGACATAGAGGGGGGAGGACTGCTGGGGCGAGGGCGAGGGCGAGGGCGGGAAGGGTTACGCGGAGTATACCAGGTGTCTTGGTTACCGGCTGCCCAATTAGTGGGGCAGGAGGAATGGTAACGAGGCGGTGCGTGCCGAGGAGGGAAGGCCGGGATCTTGGGCCGGTGACGTTGGATCCTGGGATTCTTCTGCTCTTGTTCTATTATGTGGTGTTGTGAATAGTCGTGCCAGACGACTACAATGGCATGCAGGAACAGGGCTATGGAGCGCTTTCACTCGGTCGCGCCTGCACACATGCTCGGGGCCTGTTCATGCGGCTCGCGCACTAAACCCGGCTAGCGCCACAGCCCCGCCAAAGTCGACATCTGGAGCTCTCACAATTTCCAACGCGTTCTTGGTAACTGCAACAACACAGCTATCACCTCACCCCACACGACACCATTCCATTTCGAGCGAGCCTCACCTTTGTATCCACAGCAAGCCGCTCTACTCAGCAAACCACCGCGACTGTCTCCAAGGTTGCAGCTTCCCCAACTTCACCGCCTGCAACGCGACCCGCAATCGCCTACCATGTCGACAACTGAGGAGACGCCCATCAAGCAAGAGCCCGTCGAGGCGGCTCCTGCGCAAGAAGCCCAAGAAGCCCAAGAGAGCTCACTCGAACAAGCTCAGGCCGACGGCAGCGGTCCACCAGGAAATGGCTCTGCCTTGGCTGAACCCGAGTTCAAGGTTGAGGTCAAGCTTGCCGACTTGCAGGCGGACCCTAACAACCCGCTGTACTCCGTCAAGTCGTTCGAGGAGCTAAATCTGTAAGGCACACGCTCTCACAAACCGGCCGAGCTAATGAGAACAGCTCCCAGGAACTTCTGAAGGGCATTCGCAACATGAACTTCAGCAAGCCTTCCAAAGTTCAGGAGAAAGCTTTGCCTCTGCTCCTGATGGAGCCGCCTACCAACATGATCGCCCAGTCGCAGTCGGGAACTGGCAAGACCGCCGCCTTCTCACTCAACATCCTCTCCCGTGTCGACTTGTCCAACCCTCGGCCGCAAGCGTTGGCGCTCGCGCCTAGTCGAGAACTCGCTCGCCAAATTCTCGGAGTCATTACACACATGGGTCAATTTATGGAAGGCCTCACGACTATGGCTGCTATTCCCGACCCCTCACGAAGGGGACAACAATTCGACGCCCAAATTCTCGTTGGCACTCCCGGCACTGTTCAGGATATGCTGAGGCGGCGTCTCATCAACAAAGAGAGCATCAAGATTTTGGTCTTGGATGAGGCCGACAACATGCTGGACCAGCAGGGCATGGGCGAGCAATGTACTCGTGTCAAATCACTTCTGAACAAGGACATTCAGACAGTCCTCTTCTCCGCCACCTTCCCGCCCAATGTCATCGGTTTCGCTAAGCGCTTCGCACCGAATGCGAACACGCTTACTTTAGCTCACGAAGAGTTGACCATTGAGGGTATCAAGCAACTTTACATCGATATTGACAAGGACAACGACAAGTACGCCACATTGCTCAAGTTCTATGGTCTGATGACACAAGCATCTTCCATCATTTTCGTCAGGACCCGAAGGACGGCTGAGGAGCTCGAGCAGCGCATGGTCGCTGAAGGCCATAAGGTCGCACAATTGAGTGGTGCACTCGAAGGTGCTGACCGTGATCGCGTTATCGACCAGTTCCGCTCCGGAGAGGCCAAGGTGCTCATCACCACCAACGTCCTTGCTCGTGGTATCGACGTGCAGTCCGTCACCATGGTCATCAACTACGTAAGTTGTATTCAAGGAAGACGTATCTAAGACATGCTAACATTCTACTAGGACGTTCCAACCATGGCAAACGGAAGGGATGCAGACCCCGAGACATACCTCCACCGTATTGGTCGTACCGGTCGTTTCGGACGTGTCGGTGTCGCCCTCACCTTTGTCCACGACAAGGACAGCTGGTCGCAACTGAACTTCATCGCAAACTATTTCAAGACCGATCTACACCCTATCGACACATCGGACTGGGACGCTGTCGAGGATATGATTCAAAAGATCATCAAGTCATCGCGAGCGGGCAAGACCACGGAGGAGATGACGAAGGCGATCACTGGATAGAAACATTGGACTATCTAAGTAAGAGCAGGATGTCTCCAAGGCGTCTAGAACATCGTTCGTAGATGATCAATTGGGGGAAACCAGGCTTCTGGACGATAGCAAGCATATGGCAGAGGCAACAACGCAGCCGTTGACCTCTCTGAAAAGATAGAAGAACCACGTACGATGGAAATGAATCAAAGATACCCAAGCTTAGCAACAAGATAAACTAAGTCTTTCTCTTCGTTATCATCTCGATTCCTCAACTCTCAAACGCCCCCGGCGCCGTAACCACTATGATGATGAGCGAACTGGCTATCAGCGCGCCCGCTATCGCACTAACTATAATAATGCTCCCCCTTGATGCAGGAAATTTGCCCCGTATAACATAATGCTGGGCCTCAAAGTACCGATGGAAACCTATCAAAAGCATCAAGATGGAAATACCAATAAAGGTTGCGCCGAGCGGCTTTCCCAAGTGCCGCAGTTTGGCTTGTGGAGAGGACGTGTGGGATGCATCTGGGGAGTTTGATAGGGATGTGTTTAGGCGGAAGAGTTGCGTTATTGCTATGCCGATGCTGGCGAAAGAAAGGGAGGTTCGGAGCCAGGCTAAGAAAGTGCGTTCTGTCGAGTATTGTTAGTACCGGCATCCTTACGCTTCTATGTAGGTGGAGAGAATGGAGAGATATGCTTACCCAAGGCCAAATGGTCTCTCGCAACACTACCCTTGTTGTCCAGTTCCACGCTGCCGTACTTTTCCCAGAACCCGCTCCACCAACCCTTTTCCCGTCGTTCTACCGCTGCCGCTTCTCTCTCTGCGCTTCTTGCGCGCTCCGTGGTGGTATGACCTTTTGATCGTCTCTGGTCGGTCGCTGGTTGCAAGTTACCTGCCGTGCCTTCTTGTCGTGCACCATGTTCTGTAACCGCGTATTCTTGAGGTATGGAAGATGCGCCATTCGGATCTTGAGATGGGTTTGCGGCTTTCGTGGTGGAGGAGTGGTCGCGCGCACGCATATCAGGCGATATGGATTTGTAGTCCTGGTTGTTGTGGGATTGCGAGCTTGTGACTATGGGAGAGGTTTCGTCGGCGCTGAGCGTTCGCGGTGACATGGTGTCGCTGCGGTCGGTACCGCGTTTACGGGGTCCGCTTATGTCTGCCATGCTTCCCTGCTCTTTTCTGAACTGTGTACTAGTATCTGTGCGATGTTTGTATTATTCCGGTGAACCCGTATAGACGAAGTCCTGGGTATTGTTACGGTAGGGTCAAGTGAATGGTGTAGGAGACGTCATTCCGCACCGAGGTGGACTCGGGCGAGTATCGGTCGCACGCGATGAGCCGGTCCCCGCGGGGGTGATCATGGTCGTCTGCGTACATGTCGCATATCTATGCATGATGCACTTAACCCTTGAATGCTTGCAGATACTCTGGATCAGGCATGTTAGAGCTCAAGATGGACGTAGCGTGATCGTGCTTGAAAGTCACGCAAGACCCGCATTCGCGACCAGCCTATAGAAACGAAGCGTGTTCCGCAGCCCACATAATTGAAGCTAAGCTTTTTGGAACAGTCTGGATACTGCGCATCATACTGCTTTATTCTTGGATGAAGGGAAGGTGCAAACTGTTGTAGTGCAGACTTTCATATTCCAATTCAAGGATGTTGCTGGTATACCTAGGAATCTCTTGCCAGCAAGCCTTCTATACCTCTGATACATGACTATTTCGTACATGCAGCGCTCATGATAACAACAATGTAGCAGTAGTGTGTCCCTCTCAACGCCGCCCCAAGACCGCCAAAGGAAGCAGCTTGCAAATAAATTGTACATCGCCTCCAGTCCTCTTACTCGTTGTAGTGGTACACCTGGGATAAAAGTTAGCAAGCAGTACCGAGAAAGCATGCTGAAGAATGACTTACAAGGTAGTTTGGCAATCCGAAACTTTCCCAGTTCAATCGGTTCGCCATCTTGGCGAAACCCTCAGTCTCGATGAGGTGGTAGAAGGCGAAGGGCGGGAACATGGCGCCGTCTCGGTGTACCTCTGCCTTGACAAGCAGAGTGGCACCACCTACACCATCGAGCTTGATCTTGGCCTTGGGGTCCGCAGACGTATCGTGCATCTTAGCCATGAGGCTGCGGTAGGTAGCCATCTCGGCATAACCTTCCAACAGAATATCATCTTTGCCCATCTTAGAAGCAAGATCCTTTGCTGTGGGACTGTCGATCCAGTTGTTGAAATCGTATTCCCGAATATCCATAGCCTTCTTTTCTTCGTTGTAGTATCGCTGGAAGCAGTTGGGGACAATGATGGGCACGTCGTAGTCGGCGAGATCTTGGATCAGGGTAGGCGGGGTCTCGACGATGTCGGCATCCATCCACAGAACCCACGAGGTTGTGGGGCCCAGGGTTGTGAAGAGGAGCGAGTTGCGCGCCTTGGCCATAGCCGCCCGTCGTGCCTTCTGATTCTCCATCTTGTGACGCTCGGACTCGCTTTGCGACTGGAGTGGGGACTCGGTGTCCTGACGGAGGATAGTGATGGCGGAGAAGCGGTTCTTCTTGGATCCTGTCTGTGTCTTGGTGACTTGTGCCTGCAACGCAGCGTATGCGGCATTGCCCTCCTTTGTCTTTGGTATTATGAAGCCCAGAGAGATGAGGTTATGTGGGTAGCTGAGCTTGAGGAGGTTGTCCCAGTACTCCTGGTAGAACTTTGCCAGCGGTGTGAGGATGAGGACCGTCTCTTCGTTCTCGATTGGCGTGCGCGTGTTGGTCACATTGTTCATGTAGTAGTGCACGACGGGCGGCGCGGCCTGTGGAGCGTTCGCTTTGGACTTGCGGAACGGTAGCGATGGTGGAGAGAGTGGGTTGGAGGCTACCTCGCCCCCTCCTTTTCTGGTGATTGACGGCACATCGGTGCCAGAGAAGAAGAAAACGAAGAAGCCAATGCAGAGGATGCCGGCAAGGATTATGGTAATGGGATTCGAGCGTCGAAACGAGCGTGACATTGTGGGTGGACGACTAGGAAGGAAGGCGAACCGCGGCTGCCAGGATGGTAGGGGCCTATGAAGGGCGCATCAGAAGAAACAAGGGCAGATGGTGGTGAGGTTGCGGGCGTGGTTCGGCGCAAGGAGGTGTGCGAGACGTGGCCTGGCCGGCGCACCAAAAAGCGTCAGCGGCGTATACGGACACGAAGGCGGGTCTCGGGCGTCCTTTTGGCTCCCAGCGGGTATCGACACGGCTGCTTCGACAGGCTCAATGCGTGGGCTAGCAGGTGACAGGAGTGCTTCAAATGTTACTACGGCCAATGTCGCGAGATGCGGCTCTCTGCTTACGTACTCATCTCCTCTCCAGCGCCTGCAGGCATGTCTGCTAGTGCCATCTGCTAGCCTTCGGTCGTGCGTCATGACCATCTGCACATCTTCAACCCCATCTCCACCCTTCACTATGGTCAATTGAGCCTCGACAAATGCTTCTACTGGTCGCCCGACAATGGCCAGTCCTGAGGCGTGCCGCTGCCGCCACTCGCACTCTGCGCTTTTCATCCAGCACATCTAATACATGGAGAGGCTCCAAACCTCTTCCCTTTACATCTCCATCACAACCTCATGTATCTCCATCACCATTGCATTTCCTGCACTGCGGCACAATCGTGCCAAGGTCCCTTGAGAGTCAAGTAAGAGCATCAAGTCGATTTGTTGATACACCCTAACAACCTCCCAGCCACATGAATTCATAGACCATATCAAAGCTTTCAATCCTGGAGTAGCACGCCAAAAGACCTTCTGTGTCTTCCTCGTCACGCCTTCTTATGCGCAACACTTACTCGACGATGACTTCCTCCATGAAGCTCTCAAGAAAATATACTACAACACGAGCTACGAAAAAGATTTCCGTGTAGATGCCTTGTGTGCCGTCGTAGACAAGCTTCCCATCCGTAGATTCAAGCACGGAGACCGAGACGAAGAGCTATCGCGACGTGCCACCGAGCCACCTACTGCTGGAACTGGGCTCGAGGGAATGACTTACGTATTGCTTACGCCTGCTGACTCTGTGTCATCCCAGAGTCTTTCGCCGTCAGACAAAGGTGCCATCGATTTCATATTTGCGCAACATGTCTTCAACGACACCACCTATCAAGATACACTACGATTACCTCTCTCGAATACTGTTTTTCAGACGGGCATGCCATCGACTATGATCCTCTCGACTTGGAAGAATTTCGGTGAGGGTCAAGGGTTGATTCTGGAGTCCAAGAGGAACGTTTCCCATCACGGCATCCGTCTGATTGAGCAAGTAGGACATCGTGCAACACTCCCTCCCGTTCTCAACGTACCCCTGATCCCGCTAACAATGCCGCGCTTGGTTGAAGGGTGCATGGGAAACATCATCCGCGGGATTATTGGGCCGGAAGGTAAAGCTATGCAGGCCTCCTCGGAACTTGAAAATGTCGTTCCTCGTTTTTTCAGATCGCGGGGACAGCCAGCGCAAGCAACAGTGGCTTGGGCACTCGTGATCCCCAGAGAACTGAGAACCGTCATTGCTGCTAGAACAGATGAGCTCCTCTCTAGCTTGCCAATGGAAAGCGAAGATACGCTCTCTAAACAGGAAGATTCGTGGGAACGTTTGTGGCGCAGCAATCCACCTCTATGGAATACCCTCGTGTCCAAGGCGATTACAGAAGGAGCACGTCTCCATCGGGTCTTGAGTGGCGGAGGCGGATGGGGAAAGAAAGCTGGTCTATTGTCACTGGATCCCGTTCCGGCCAATGAAGCTGCCGAGCCATCAAAGCGCGACGATCTTCCTAACACAATCAATGATCCGGAAGATTTTGAGTCGACCCTTACGCCAGTGGTACGAGACGGAGACTCGATACAATTTTTTATCTCGCCAAAATCAGACCTTGAAAAGATAGCTCAGGAGACTAATACCCGCAGGCTTGCAAGTGTTGTTCCCAAACGTCATTGGGGTTGGGAGCTAGGCACTATCCCTAGCACTATTGACTCAGTTCCTGGAGAGTCCTGGCAACACCGTCCACGCCCAACAAAGAAAATACATGTCCACCATGGCTTTGGTGCGCTGACCGAAGGGCCGATGACACTCACGCGGCACTCCCACGTCAATAGCGACAAGGACGTCACAGTCAATGTTACTACGATCGACGTTCCCTTCTCCCGCCTCTCCGCGTCAACCTACACACGTACAAAAGTGGATGCTGGGATAAAGTATACTAAGAAAGAGGGGATTCAGAAGAAGGACGTAGGTGAGCCTGTCATTGACTAGCTTCTCCTTCTAATGTATTCTGATAATTCAAGTAGCCGTTCCATAAGTCAAATATACTGAAATCTGAGCCGTCCGTCAATCCGCCATACTCAGCTAACAGTCGGCCAACTATGCATATAGCCAGTTTATTCTCATCTCATCAGAAGCGTGACTTCCAACATACTTCAATTCCCCAAACTCTCTTCAGTAGGCGCAGGTTGTCCACCACCGTTACTGTCAGTAGGCAATCACGATCACCTCCAAGACTAGCTGTCTCAGAATTAGTTCGCAAACTCAAGATAGAAGGACATGCTACCACCGGTCGACTCAGGGTCCGAACAGCGAAAGCCATAATGCGGAGGTTTGAGAAGTCCTTCGATAAAAACAAGATGAAACACAGGGAGATCATGATAACGATTCGACGTCGGCATGTTCGGTTAACGATTATGAGGTTCAGGGCTATCATGGTTGAAGCAGCAAACCTGGTGGAAGAGGCTAATTTTGTCTTGGGAAACAACTATCATACGCCCGTAAGGAGGATCTCCTCCAAGAAGAGAGGAAAATCAGAAAGACAAAGCCTTGCAGGAAGTGCCTCGAAGAGAGAAGAGACGAAGGCTGGGAAGGCTCCGGGGCCCGAACCAAAACTCAGAAAAGAGATCAAGGCCGAGAAAGAAAAGAAGGTTCGGCCAGTGTCATCTAAGACTACCGGAGTACCTATCCGCAGATTCCTTTCCTTGGGCACGACTATATCCATTGAGATCAACAGGAGAGTTCAATCTGGAGTTCTAGAAGTCTCCCGCCTGACCGAGGAAGCCAGAGCCGTCTTGGCCGCCATTCAGCAGTACAGACCGAAGATTCGCAGAATGCCTGTCTCAAAACTGGCAACGCCGCAAGCTCTGAACCAGACGCTGGGTTACGCAATCCGAGAAATTTTACATCTGACAGAGGAAGCAAGGACCATCATGGCTACCATTCAACAGCGTAAACGACAGAGTTCTTGGCGCTTCATACGACGATGGGGCCGTGATGCTGATCTGATGCCTATCGGTCCTGGCACCTCGCCCGTGGATTTATTGGCGTATGCGCGCAGAAACTCCCGCACATGGCAGCTAGGTATCCAACATCTTAAAAAGGAGGTCAACATGATCAAAACTCGGATCCGTCAGCGTAAGCGCGCACACCGCAAATCTGTCACCAGCTTGCCACGAATCACAAAAGAAGAGCGGCTGCGCGTGCGACGGGTAAGGCATGCCGTGATCAACGTCGTCCAGTACCCATCGCGCAGCTGGGTTGTGCGGAAAAAACCAGTTAGTGGGGAGACTAGCAAGGCTAAGTTGTTGAGGCTGCGGCAGAAGGTTTCAGAGAAGAAGAGTAAGAAAGAGGGGCTTGCACTGACAGTGGAGCAGTGGCTTACAGGCGGTGGTAGTTATGGTGGATGATGGTGATGGCAACGGTGAAAGGGAGAGCAGAATGGAGAAGAGAAGTGGTCCTGACTTGCTGTACGAGACGGCAGACGATCAGGAGAGTAGAAGTCTGAGGGATGGAAGGAGGCGGGTGTGAGGATGTGGTGTACGGATTGGAAGAAGAATGCAGGCGCAATTACGCAAGCCAATGAGCATGCTGTTTGAGAGGCAAAGGTAGCATGGCGGTAGCAAGCTGGAGGCACGCATATCTTTACGTCTGTACTGACGAGCATGCAGAGCCCGTCTCGTCTTGCTTCAACTTATCCCTCACATGCTCAATACATATAAATAATGGAGCGCACTACTACCTACCCTTTCTCTTCTACTTTACATCACCTTCTTCTTTTCATATAAAAAAAGACGCAGAAGACGAAGAGATGTTGGTGTCGGTTCGAAAAGTGGCATTGATACGCCTTATGTCGGTGTTCGTGCAGAGTCTCGAAACAAAACCTGGATGATTATATGGCTGAGCAGTCGCAAAACAGTCTTACAAGGTTCCATGGAAGTTTTCGTCGCTCCTAACCGTATCCGAGAAACTCCGGCCCTAAAACGATGTCGGTTTCTCCGGTTTGCACAAGACGGTTACATCTTTTCCAAAATTGCCATTCCTTAGGTTGATGAAATCTCAAGGCCTTTCTTGTATGGTCATTTGTGGATGGAAATCGGAGCTGCTATACATTGAGATTTCGAATACACAGGACTCAAGAACTCGTTGGCTCCGTGTCCATGGCTAGCAGCGAGCTTTACACGAGTGTCATCTTGAAACTGTAGTACTTCGACTTGGCGCTTGGGTCGATACATAGACCCCGTCTATGTCTTCTCGGTCCATTTTCCTACAATCATTCCTGCTGCAGATCTTCCACAAAAAAATTCGTCGTTCTCATGGATTCGAAAAAGCCTGGGCATATATTCATGTCCCACGGCCTGATAGGTTCCACATTCAAGGATGTACCCTTTGCGGTTAATAAAACCACAAACACTGGCGACTGAGGACATCTCCGCACAACTACCTGAGTTTTGAAAGAACGACTGTATGCTTGAAAGATCTAAACCATAGCCATACCTCGCTTCATGAACTATAAAAGTCCTCCTACTCTCTCCAAGTTCCTTGCTTCACGCTACCTTTTAATATTCTTCCTAAAAGTAGTATTCAAAGAAACTATGGCAGAGAGTCCAGAAACGCGGAAAAATGTTACTGCCTTTCTCTTTCTTCCTCAAAATTTCACCACCTCCTTCTATACGAAAAAACTCCTAGCAGAAAGCCATGACCAAAGATTGTCCAACCACAACGTATGTGGTCTCCCGTACAGACTCGCAAAACATGCCAGCAATCTCGTCATATACAGAATAGCTTCTTCATATCGTAATAGTCGCACATCATGGCTACGGGGTGCTGCTCATCTCTGTCCTGTCAAAAAAAAATTAAGAAGAAGGAGAAGAATGTCTGAGAAGCTTTGCTGCACTTGGGAAGTTGAAACTGAAAATCTTATGACGTGAGGATAGACGAGTGTGCTCCAAAAGGTCCGGCGAGCATACCTATGTCGTGAGAAACCAGCCGGATTGATGTATAAATTCTGGAGTGGGAGACTGCTTCTTCTTCTCTCTTCGACATCATGATCCCTGGTTCTTTTCTGTTTACCAAAAGATAACAACGCTGATCACATGGCGTGCGGAGGGGCATCAAAACACGCAAACAAACCTCGTAATTTCCGTGCGACGAAGTCGCTCTCCTGCATTTCAAATTGTCAATGACCACAAACTATGTGCGAATCGAAAGTCAACAACGATCAAGATGGTGACCATGTCTTCTCCATCCCGCCTAGCAGTACTATTCGTACTACCAAAAACATCGTCTTCCAGGATATATGGATCCTTGCCAGGACAAAAGAAAAGTCATGTTCGCTTTCGAGGACACACGCATCTGAACTCCTCCTCACCGCATCTTGAATGTCACCATCTACGCCCGAGACTGGAAGCCTGAAAGCTATGAGATCGACGACGGACGGTAGAGGGAACATCAGTCTTGGGTCCACTCCGAAGTAATGCGTAGTACTTCAATCCCGCTGAAAGCCTTTTGAAAGCCTGCTGTGATGATTTAGGATGTAACAACAGCTGTCTGATCTCCAAAACACTGCTTTGGAACGAAATTGAGTGGCAAGAACACATAAACACCCACGTTTGACACCCTTGGAGATAGCACACGTCGATGTGCTAGTGGTGTTGAGATGCTCAGGCATTTTGTCCTGGGTCGTAGTCGGACTCCATTGAAGTGACGGAATCCACATGGTGATTCGTACACAGCATCAATAAAGGTAGTCACAGAAACAAACAAAAAAACAGAAGAAAAACATGAAGAAGAGAAAGATCAAGAATTAGGTACCCTCATTCATCTCCCATGCATAGTTCCACCACCTATAATAAGCCTGTAACCCTCATCCAGCGCCAATCGATCCAAAAGATTTGCTATTCATGCATGCAATAGCCACACCCAGCTTTTGCCCTGTAAACTCCGAGGCTCATGAACACGAGAAGAACAAAAAACATGGTGGGGATATATCGTTGGACGTTGATTCGCATAGAACACACAATCCTCCAACGCAAGGACCGAAGCAACCATGGTGTTGCTACGGCACCTCTAGCATAGCTATGCTGGGAAAGGGTTGTGTGAAATGCGAACGTGATATCGGGAATGGTCGAGATCGACAGAAAGACGGAACACCATCAAGCAGCGATCAAACCACTCTATAATTCGACCTTGCTCGCCGTGAAGTCCCAGAGCATCTTGACAAGGGAATCGGGTAGAGTATAGAGGTCGACATGGAACTCGCCGTCTGTTCAATCTGTTAGCACAATCCCTTGCATGTTAGTGTCGAAGACTGCAAACGTACTCTCAACGTCGTTCTTGGTGTACGTCTCGCTAGTCTTGTTGTCGTGTACCAGGGTGACGACGTGTAGAAGATCATCCTCGCCCAGCTTCTGCAGACCATCGGCAAGCTTCTCCATGTCCACGTTCTTGTCCCTTCGGTTCTTCTTCTTGGCCTGGTCCTTGTTGCGCATTCCGTTTGCTTCGGCGGGGCCGGACTCTGCGAGGAGGGCGAGTAGCTCGGGCTTGGGGTTACGGAAAGTCTACAATCAAGAGGGTTAGCGTTTTCTCGGGTAGGGAAAGGTAAACTTGTATGGTTGTTGTGGGACATACGACTTGGTGCTTGGCCTCGTAGCGTTCTGCCTGGAAGTTTAGGTCGTGGTCGAGCGTGTGGTCGCCGCCCTTGCCAATGGCGGTCAGGACGATGGTCATGTCGAATTCACCCCAACCCTTCTCGTCGATGCGGAACGGCGGCTTCTTGATGACTTTTCGACTTGTTAGTAAGACGTCTCACAAACGGCGCATTATGCGGCGCGCTCACTGTGCTTGTTCTTCTCGAATGAAGGATGCAGATTGTAAACAGCCTTCTCGAAGACGTTAGGCATGACCTCGTTGCCCTGGTCATCTAGCAGCCAGATCTCTATGCTCCATGATCGCATGGGGTAGCCCTCAACGGGCGAAGGCTCCGCGCTGTGGGTGCGTATTAGCGACTGATGGCATGTAGACGCGTGGTCTGGACAGGCGCATGCGATTGCGCGCGAAGTGTACGTACATGGGCTTCTGGTGGGTGACGAGCTTGACCCATCGCTTGACCTGCGCGAATGTTACTATCTCTGCGATGGCTTTGGGCGTATCTCTAGGTTGCAACTTACGTCAGGCATCTTGTTTGATATGCGCCGCGAGGACGGACTACTGCGCAGGTAATTTGTTTTGGCTGGCGGGAAAAATATGCAGTAGAGGTATGTTGAGGGAGTTCAAGTTGGGCGCGATCTTGGGGGTCTGCTTCTTGCGACAAAGAGTGTGCGCGTGTGGTGAAGGGCAAAGGTCTGGAGATGCGCGGTGGCTGGTCTTGGGTCGCGAGCTCTGATTTGGCGAGTTAACTGAGAGAGATGGTCGCGGGGCGGCGGAGACGGAGACTAATTGCTTTGGTCTTGGCGCAAACCATCAAGCTCTTTGAAAGCTGCACGAGCACGGAAGCCTGCCTGACAGGGCTAGCCACTTCTGCTCTACACCATGTGAGAGACACGATACACCGCCCGACGCAATTGTTTGTATCACTCGTGAGGCTGTGCGCAGCAGACGGCCAAACTTGCAATCACGACACCAATGCCATCACTACCGAACTTTATCAACTGCCATAGTCTTGCATGGGGGGGATGCCGTTGACTACAGTAGTCGGGCCATTTAGTTACTATCTAGTTATGTGCAGGGTGTGGGTAATTTCTTCTGCCACCGTGATACCACCATATGATACCGTCCCAAACCATCCTTCACTGTTCATGCAATCCATCTTCTTTTCATATCTCATCCTATCGTCCAACTCGCTATTATCCTACCCATCTACTGCTCCGACTTGCCGAAAAGCGCCTCGTTCTCCTGCTGGGCCTTGATGAAAGCCTCCTTGAACTGGTTGGCGTCTGCAAAATATAGTTAGTGTCCTGCTGCCTAGTCAAAGCCATCTCTCAGCACTTACTCTCGCTGTTGGCGAAACGGATAGCCAGAGTCTGAGCCTCGGGCTCGCCTTCGCTAACATCGGCGGCGGCGTTCCAAACCCAGCTGCGGTCGCTGCCTACGTTGGGCGACAGCTTCATGTCGGGGACAACTATGCACTTCTCAGTATTCACTCTCATATCCATGTTTCATGCATCATACCGTAGTGGTTGGCGCAGACCTTGAGTGTCTTGTCTCGTCGCATGACAAGACGGGTCTTGCCGTTCTCCTTGTGCTTCAATAACCGGACATCACCAGTGCCACGCTCCTTCCACTCCCGCGACTCCCTGTCGAACTTGAACAACTTGGCGCGCATCTTGAAAACTTGCTCCTCGAGCTCCTCGTTGGTCTTGGTGTCGACCTTCTCGGTGAGGTGGACAACGGGCTGGAAATCGACATCGGGCTCCTCGTTCTCGGGGTCTTCGTCCTGTCGCTGTGTTAGTATTCCCTAGAGAGTGTCTGGTGGTATTCGTACATCGCCCTTGGGCTTCGAGGCACCTGATGGCTCGTTGGCGTCGTCTTCCTCGTCCTTCTTGACCTTTGCGGGGCCGCCACCAAACATGGAGAAGACGTTGTCCTTCACTGCGGCTGCTGCCTCTGTCGCCTTCTCGGTGATGGGCTTGTCATCCTTGCTCTCGGTGGTAGTGGTAGTCTCAGGCTTGTCGGCAGCCTTGTCTGTTGTGACCTTTGCGGTCTCGTCCTGGACAAGAGTCGCCGCAGGGTTGGCGACCTGCTCGGCGGCGGGGTCGGGCTTGGCTGCTTCAGACATTTTCGACTATTGATGAGTGGTATATGGGTCTGCGTGTGATAAGAAGAGGAGTGTACTTGGGGGTGAAGGGTGTGTTGTTTGTGGATTCTTGTGTCAACACCCTGCCTGTAAATTGAGGAAGTGGGATGCCCCTCCAGAATGCGCCTTACCCGGTTGGGCCCAGGGACGTGCGTGATATCCCTGCCCAACGCGCCGTCACAATTGACACATGGTGCACCATGCCATATTTGCGTCCAGTCTTCATGCCAGCTACTCACATGATAACAAGATACATGTCACGCGTGTACAATTGCCATAAAAACCGGGCAAAGGTTTGTGCCAGCCTACAAGCTGCTGTAGACCCACTATGGTATATGATGAATTTGACAAGCCTATAACTCCTAGTCATCCCAGTATCCCAATCAAATCCCATGGGTATAACTCTGCACCTTCATGTTTGCCTTCGAGTCCTACATACGCCGCTGCTTAAACAAAAGAAAACAGTACAGGAAGCGAAATAAATCCTCCACTGCGTGCCGTCTCCTTTATGCCCCTCCTCGCACCTTTGCACAAGCCCAGCTCTGCTTCTCACCATCTCCCCTGGCAGATAGACCTGCTGCCATTTCCATCTTGCACCTGACGCGAAGAGCATTCATCCTAGCCTTCTTCATCGCTGAAGACGTCCGCACTGGCGCGGTTATATCTCGTAGTCCCATCCATGTAGCTTCTGGGATCTGTCTTGCCCGTCGCGTCTTCATCTCCAGTCGGTTCTTAGTTTCTTGAAGCTGTTTCGAGGCGTAAGCATCTAAGCCAGCCATGTATACTTGCACTGCTTGTGCTGCTGTAGCTGAGACGTTTAGAAGGGCGATCTGTGTATCGAACATGTTCATTTTGGCGGTGTCGAGAAGTTGATCCAGTGCGGTCTTGTTATGTCCCAGCATTACTTCAAAGGACTGCCGCAGGAGAGGCTTTGAGTGGGTAGCAATACTGACGTTGAATTTGTCGAAGCGGTATTGCTGTTCCAGATCGACAATGTACTCGCCAGTGATGGTTCGGTTGTAGCGTGCTGGAACCTCTTCTGACTGGTGGGAAACATGAATCTGGAGCTGAGGCTTCTTCCGGCTCGAGCTGAACGTTTTTGAAGGACGCAGAATGAATTGATGATCCCCAGTGGTCTGGATCTCAAAGCCCCCAACTTGGTCGCTTTTCGCCTTTGGCTTTCGGTGAGGTCGCTTCTGCTGAGGGGGGACAATGGTGAGCCCTCCTTGAAATGCTGTCGGAGTTGAAGTGGGAGATGACAATGGAGAATGAACCACGCTTGGAGACACTGCCGCTATGGGTGTGATTGTGGACATAATGCTCTGTGCCTCAGACACGGCTGGTGATACCGACTGAATCTGCGAGACTTTCTGGTAGAGCATAGGGAGGTAGGCTGTACGCTGAAGCAGTGCAGGAACAAGGACGAATAGAACAATGGCAGATGCCAGCCACCTGGCCCAGTGTAGATGCGGACCAATATTCTTCATACGGGCATGGGTCTTCTCGCCGAGCCACGACTTACGGGCAGTCAAAGCCTTTGTGTGTTGGGCCGTCGCTAGATGAGGACTAATCAGTGCGAGGTGGCGGTTAAGCTGGGATGGCTCAAGTTGATCGAATTGGTGGATGTCAAGAGGCAGCACTTCCTTCAGCTCGTAGTCAGTGTTTGGGTTCTCCCGACCTTCTACGCATACTCGCAATGACGTGTTCTTGTCAGCAGAGGACCCGGCCCCGAATGGGTTAGTCTCAGCAAGTTCGATGTATGGAATTGCTTCGCGATCAAATACTTTCTTAACAGATGCAAAATCTTGCTTGTCAGCAGTGTGGTCAAGGACGCTTGGGTGACATATGATGACAAGGTCTGGTTGATCTTGAGAGCGAGCAGAGGCGCCAGAACCGAACACCAGGTAGCGACCATCTTCGGTGAGCACGCGAATGTGGCCAGCATTGTAGACCAACATGTCGGCACAACGGTCAGTGTGTGGGACTGGAGCGTATGGCTCGACCTGACCGCGGACCATGACCGTCTTCGAAGCGTCAGGGTAGGCAGCGAGTGCCGCGCCGATCTTGGACGTGATGGTGCCTTCCGCCCACTTCCCACTGCCAACGTAAAGTATTCGGTACGTGTCGGGGGTGGTAAGGGGTCGTTGAGACAAGGCTGCTTTGACTGACAGTCTGATCTCTTTGCAACCATAACGTTCGAACACGGGTGGGAGCTCGTCTGTGTAACCCGCTGAGCTCTTTATGACACTGCTTCCATGAGTTACATCGGCGTTACTTGTGGCTCGCTCGTGGAGTATGAAATGCCTTGGGCTCATGCTCCCACTCAGGTACGGGGGCACCTCTGTCAGACTAGAGTCCTCGCCGGACAGTATGGGATGTACTTGGGCGGGGTGCTCGTGGTGCTCCGCCTGCGAGGAGTATGTGCTATCTTGCAAGCCTCGCTCGACGGTATCATACTCGCCGTCGTCATCACTGTAGTCGTCGGACGTGTCATCCGGGGTAGGACCGTCGGTGGACGCGATGGACTCAGTGTGTGCTTCGTCGTCGGACATGTCAATGATGCCGTCGCCGAGCAGATCATAGCTGCTGTCATCGAGAGTGCTGCCCGCCTCTTCTGGCTGCCGACGTTGCGTCGACCTCATCATGAGTGTTTCAAGATCGAGCCTAGTAAGTGAGCGATCAACTTGAACCGGAGGGAACTCTAGATCTTGAGACTGAATAGGCTCGCTGGAAGACATGTCAGCTCGTGTTCATGCAATGCTTAGTGAGTGCGCAGAGGTTCAGAGAGGTTCGAGTGTGGTGAAGGAGGGGAGGCGGAGTGGCCAAGGGTGAGGTGGTTGTGGTGGGCACCAGGTGGACGCTGCCTAACTAGCTGCGGGCGAAGCGCGTATGGGGGCCTTCGGGAGGAGTGGAGACCACGCGGGGCAGATAACAGCACATACCAAGCTGGGCACTGTTGCTAATACAACAACAACTGTTGGACTGTTGTCAGTGAATGTGAGTGCGAGTGAATGATCAAACAAGTGCAAGTTGTGGTGACGACAGGGTGCTGATGGACGGTAGGGCTTAGGTGCTTAGGTGGGATGCCAATGGGGGTATACCCCGCAGGCCATGTTGTAAGCGATAAGATACGGAACATGGTTCACATGCGCATACAATAAAGTGGGCGATCCCCGACTGCGGGCGATCACGGACTCACGTACAGCGTAGTGTCTGATTCACAGCAGCCGAAACAATGTTAGTGTTTTCGACTTGTTCGTATTCGTTTTCGTGTGCTGTGTCTGCCAATGTGCAGCCAGTTGGCGCTTCTACGACGCCCCCATAGTCCTGATACTCTAGTGAAGGGCTGCCCAGCCCGTATGCAATGCCAACACCTGACGCCTTACTCGAAAAAGGAGTACATGATAACGCTCCCGCAAAATGATAGCACGAAGCTGATATAATACCACGCGAGAAGAGATCATGGTCCATCTGGTCCGGGCGACGCCCAACCACCGGCAACTTCCACCCACTCTGTAAGACAGGACCCTTCTTTGCCTTCCACGTCGACAATGTCCGTGTCGCATCTGCAGCGACAGCCGACGCCATTCTCTTTGACGGGGTCGTATTGTGCCCAGTACTTGTCTTCTTCCAGTCGCTCCTTCTCGTCGAGTGTTGTCTTCTCTAGGTATGGCTCGCGTGCGAGCTGCCGGGCGGGGGCATTGGCGGGACAATGCTGAATCGTGGTATGCCGGTATCCGAAGTCGCGGAAGTAGTGAATATCCTCAGGACCAAGTAGTGCTCCAACGGCCAGCGAGTGGATAGGCGCGTCTCCCCACCTCTCCATCCAGAAGCCGCCGCTACGATCCATCAACTCGAAGAAGTCGTTGTATTCCTTGCTTCGGAACCAGTTGAGATTGGCGATTTCGAAGTTGCTCCAGAAATGACACATGTTGTATGATTCGCCTTCCATGTTCTCGGGATGGATGTCCGGCATGGCTTCTGTGCCAAACTCGGTATCCATGATATCCTGGGGAAAGAAGTTCTTCTTCTTAGGCTCTGTCTTGAGTTCCTCGTCCTTCTTCTCTGGCTTCTCCACAAACATTTCCCACATGCCTTTCGAAGTCAGGTTATTATTCCGCTTGTATGCTGATGCATATCTCCAGATGTTGGGCACGGTCTCCCTCAGTTCCTTCACTGCAATGGTAAACCCGTACGTCTTCTTGTTTCGAATCATGTGGATAAATGGATCGTATGTGATGTCGCAGAAGAACTTGATTTCGGGTTCGAGACGCCAGTACCACTCATACTTGGCGAGTAGTTCGTGTTTGTAGAATTGGCTGCCAATGTTAGTACAAGTCAGAACCACTTGTGCTTGAAAACGTACCCTGAGTAGAACCTGCACATGTGATGGTAGCTCTCCATGCCACCGTACATAATGGCCCTGTCACCCTGCTTGGCGATTCCCTCCTTGTAAACCTCTGGGTCTACCCAGTCGGGGAAGCCCCATTGCTCTGGGGGTATCTTTCCAAACTCCACCGAACCACTGACGTGGCTTAAAACAGTCTCTCTGAACGTCTCGTTGAAATCTCCGTCGTTGAGGAAGACGTATGGGTAGTGGAACCACCGGTTGAAGTGTCTCTCGAGCGACTTGACCGACTGTATGACACCGTCTAGCTCCTTGTTTCTCGCCAGGACTACGATTGCGGCGTTTGCTCGGGGTCCGTTGACCTGTGGCTCGAGACAGCCTACTGCGAATGGCTTATCGTACTTTTCGCTTATCCGTCTGCGCGATGTTAGTTGCTGGCTCCATTTTGTGGTGGACAAATTTCTCTTACCTTATTGATGGTGGACCGCCGGCTGGCATGTTCATAATGCCCTGCGAGTCTGGCGATTTCACGAACAGGATTATAATTATTATTATAACGAGACATGGAAACAGGAGCACCAGGCCCAGAGGTATTGAGACGGAGGAGCTCCCCTTCAGTCGTATCCTACGTCGAAAGAATGATAGTCGTGACGACGTCTTTTCATTGCGGCGCGGTAGGTCGTCAAATGTGTCCATCTTATCTTTCGAGGTTGGTAGCCTCTTGGTCATATCTTGGAGGAAGCCCATAGTGGCGCCCTGGTGATGGCAACTCCTGAAATGTGTTCCCTGCCAATGGCAGTCCTTCCCTTCTATGTCCCAGTCGCGAGCGATGCGAAGTAACTTCGGGGGCGTTTAAGAGAGTGGTAGATGAGTGCGACGGTTGTGGACGAGGAAAGGGCGACGTGTTCAAGCCAGGGAGCTTGATCGATAACGAGCGTGTGGGTCGTGACTCCAGATGGGCGTACGACAATGGTGGACGGTTGGTGATTGGCGCGACAGACTCAAGGTTGTAACCCTGACGGAGTGAAAGGAGGGAAAAGGGTCGTTGAATGTAAATTATTAGCGGCCGACGATTGCGTATGCGTTTCGAGATCTGCTAGTTGACATGTTCCCTGTTGGCGGTGACGCGCCAAGCACTTTAGCACAGACGCTGATAGCAGGTGCAGCGGACCAATACATTCTGGGAATGGACCTTCACACGCCAATTCAGCTCAGAGGCTTGACAAGGTGAATCAACTCTGAGATGGAGAACGTAGATTGAAAGTATACCCCAAGAATCTCCACAGCCAAGACGTTGAAGGAGCCGCACGGAAAGTTACCGCTAAGCGATCGACACGACGTTCAGCCAGGCGCCCAATCTAGACCTTACGCGCATGTCGTATCGGCATCCCTTGCATTACAATCACCATGAGTAACTTCAAAGCAAAGGATCTGCATTTCGGTGAGCGGGTTCGCTCCAGCGCTGTAATATCTGCTAACTTGTTACAGACAATTCACAGCCAGCGTTCTTGCAACGCCTGCGTGGCCAGCTCACCAGTGGGGACACAGCTCGTCATGAACATCCCATCGCCAGGAACAAGAGGATGAAGAAAGACGATGACGAGGATGATGCACCTACTTATGTCATGGAAGAGACAAACCAGTCACTAAGCAAAGAGGAGTATGATGCGCTTGTCTCTGGCAAAGATGGTAAAGAGGAGGAAGAGACTGCCACCGATGAGGTTGGCGAGAAGAAAGACAACGATTCTAAATCACAATCAAAGGACAAAATTGCCGAAGTTGGTGCGAATGCAAAGAAGCGCAAGGCGGCGAAGATCATCAGTGAAGACCAGAGCGAGAGCAAGGGGGAAGAAGAGACAGCTGTGAAAAAGCCGGATGCTAAACCTGCGAAGAAGCCCAAGAAGAAGGCCAAAGCTGTCAAGCTTACATTTGGCGAAGATGAAGGTTGAAGACAGTCGAATTGTCCAGCTTGGATTGTGCAGTTTATGATCCGACCGTTCGCAGATAGCGACATGTACCCAGTCTAAACACGAGGCGCGAGCAACAGGGGAAAAGTTCCCCTTTATGTCTCCAGCGCTTCGCTTCCATGGATACAGAAATTGGTCGTAGACGAAGAACGACAGTGGCGCGATGCAAATAACATGGAACAGAAGTGCGACGTTTAGCTATGTCGTGTGTAGAATGAGTGTTCATGCAGGGTGGGAGATTGTATGGAGGTATGAGATGTCAAGTACGACGGCCACGGATTGCTACCTGTGCAGGATGGAAGGAGCCACGAGTAGGCATGCCTACTACTAAAGTTGGCATCACGATATCAATCACAATAGTACATGAACAGCTTCCAGTAGTCTGGAACCCCATCAACTAGCGTCATGCAGCTATGTAACCATGGCCTATCATGTTGCTCCTTCGTGGTTAAGAGGCACGATCCCAAGATGCTCATTCCGGTTCCGATCGGAACAGGGGTCCAAGTGCTCGGGACTCCGCAACTAATGTCGAAGTCTCCTGCATGCGTCTGCCCTTGTTCGTCTTCAAACTTCTGCCATTAAAATGGCGAAGCTGTCGCTCGAGGTAATTCACACAATTACCAATCCCATTACATTTCTCATTCGATCTTCAGGACTTTGACAAACACATCGAGAATCTGCGCACCCAGCTACTGTTTCTCAATGAGACGCTCGATGCGACGGATCACAATGCGCCGGACTGGCTCTCTGCGGACCTTCTATCGCTGCGAAACAAGTCAGGCAGATTGCAGGACGACATGAAGAGATTCAGAGATCAGCTTGAGGACGAAGGTCTGGCTGAGAAGAAGAAGGTTTGCTATGCCACGTGCGGTCGAAATGCCGACCTAACACGCGACAGGTCAAGACTTCAAACAAACGCCTAAGTATCGAAGGCGCGAAGCGTCCCGCAGAAACACCGAGTGCGCAAACCCCGACCCCCAGCGCCCACGCTATATCTCCTCTCGTAGACCAATCACCGACACCACGCGCAAAGCGAACGAAGATCGAAGACACATATGTTGTTCAACATGTCGATGTCACAGAGGAGGTCAACCGGCGGCTGCAAGAGAACCGCTTACGACGCTTGATGCAGACCCCGAGTACGGCGCAGAAGCGAAAGTTCGATTCATACGAGGAGGAGCCCAGGTCAGAAGGGCCGGCCGGCACAGACGAGGAAGGTTCCAGAGGTGGATACAGTGCGAGTGAGCAGGAGAGAACCCCAACCAAACGGCTGAGGAGTAGTGGAACTTTTGAAGGGCTGGGCAAAAGGAAGGAGGATGAGCCAGCGAGAGAACAGGACCCACGATTCGAAGACAGAGTTGATGTAAAGAGGCGGAAATTTCACCGGTAACAAAGCATATATTTAGGGAGGCGCATGTTGTATGATATTGGTCGTGCATGAATGGTTAGGACAAGGAAAATGGCGGAATAGGCACTGAACTCGGACGGCCGCGCATTTTTAGGCGCACTTGCACTATACACAGATATAATGCGTATCTCTTATGTACTGGACATGGCCTGCGTCTACTTGGAGTTCTCCGCAGCACCTCCGCTTCGAAGAGGAAGTTGCAGCCGAGGCGGGAGCTAACCGCCGTCTTTGCATCATTGAACTTTTTGACATCGTGCTCACTGAACTGCCCTACCATCACCACTTCCACACATCTGCCTGACCTGCAACACTTGCGCAAATACTTTCCGACTGACGCGTTGCATCTGAACTTGACTGCACAACCACAAACTCCAAGATGGCGACTCCAACCCCCATACAAAATATGCCCATCCCACCAGAAGAACGCCTAGCCCTCGAACAACAAGCCCGCTACCAGCGCATAACACGCAACCTAGCCATTGGCGGCCTTGTTCTATGTCCAATAATAGCCGCCATGCCGCCCCGAAAACTAGACCTCTACACATTCTCCCTAGGAATCGGTTTCTACCTCTCAGCCGACCACCTCATAACCCTACGTACGGGTCGTGGCCTCGTACAAAACCTCAGTCCGATGCGAACAATGGAATTACCGACCGAACGCGCCAAAGAGATGCAGAAGATATTGCAGGAGGAGAGGGAGAAGAGTAGAAAGAGTCTGGAGCGGAAGGAGGGGCAAGAGAAGAGTATACTGGGGAAGCTGTGGATGGGTGATGAGGAGGAAGGATGGAAAGAGAGGAGACTCGAGGAAGAGAAGAAGGCAATTGAGGAGGGGAAGAGTTATGGTGATATGATTTTTGAACAGATCTGGGAGGTTTGGAATTGGGATAAGAAAGGAAAGGGCGCTGATGGGAAGAAGGAGTGAATGAACATCCGGGCCTCGGGAGCCAGTTTTGTTTGTATAATATGGATGTAAGATACCGTGGAACATCACGTTCATGACGCCACGACTTGAATGCCCCAATGGAGACGGAAGAGCAAGGAGTTTGGAAGTTCATTGTCTCGGCTCTAAACAGCAATCCGTGGATACTCGCTGATGTCAAATCTCCATGTGCGCTCCGGCCCTGCGAATATCTTGTAAGACAATGTATGCGCGACGTGACTGACTGAAAGAACATGGTCTGCATTGACGAGTGTCTTCAAAATGTCGCAACTGATGGTTTCTACCGTAGGCATGGCAAATAAACTCTGCTCTCACATGATATCGAGAGCGTGCTCGTTTCATCTTGGCACTGGCTTACATGCATTACGTGCATTGGAGCGATGTTTGCCTAGCGGTCATGTCATATACGTAGGTATCCGTCTATTCGCCCTGTCCAGCACCACCGTCTACGCTCACCGAACCCTCTAACTCTGTCTGTCTCAGCTCAGGCCAACGGAAGGACGAAACAGTATTATATTTGGCCATCGTTTAGGCAGCCTCCCATCTCTTGTGTAACATCTTTCGCATACCAGCAGACCATAGATTGCGGTTGACCGTTCGCGCTTTACTCAATATTGTGAACCTACTAGGATCAAGCGAGCACATAACAGAATGTCTCAGATAAGCACGCCGCTCAGTCGCTCAGCCGTTGATCCGTTCTCTCCATCGTTGAATCAGGATCAACAACTCTCACAAGCCGACTTCGAAGAATTGTTCGGAACAGCTGGTTCAGCACAGCCTGTCTTCTCGTCAAACGACAGCGACATATTTGATGAGCTCGGCTTTACATACGAAGAAGACTGTATTGTACCTGGTGATCCACCAAACCCCTCCGCGATATCGACGCCCAATTTTTCCGACTACGACTTCGGCCTGAACGCTCCAGTGTACCCGACCCCTGGGCCAAACTCACCACATCCGTACCCACTAGAGCTGCAACCAGTTCATCCAGCGATAATTGATCAGCAAGACTACAATCACCGTCCCCGGCCTACACGATCTCAAACGAATAATGCCTACAACTATCCAGCACAGACACCACAATGCTACGGTCATCGTCGTCGATCGTTGAGTACTAGCGATGCAAATCGAATCGCTGCAAGTAATAGCATCAACAACCCAACTTTCATTCGCCTTCAAGCACCACGCGCGAGATCAGGTACACCAGAGGACAGGAGAAGGAATGGTCTATACTACCGGCATGGAAGGAGTGCAAGTCAAGGTCCCGCGCAAGGAGACAGACCAACGAATCCGACAAGTACACCATACCATATCTACAGTGACTCGTTGGTAGGTGGCCTGTTGCCAACACCCATTGGCACACCACTAAACCAGTTGGCCGATGTTGAAGAATTGAATTACCGCGCTGGCACAACGATTCATACAATCCACTCGGAAGGCCCGGTGTTTCGACACATGAGACGCCCTGAAAAAATGGCACGAAGCAGGCGCATCATTGAGATTGGCGCTCTCGTCGTTTCCAATCGCTCCAAACTGGACCCTAGACTTGAGCCGCCTAGTCCGACCGCAGATCGCGCGCGAATATTGGAGAAACTGGGTGATATCGAAGAACATCTTAGGAATAAGGAAGGTAAAGAAGCACTCCCGGCGTGTATGACGATTCGCGTTACGCTGTCAAGGAACATGGACGCTGAGGATGTGGATGTGGATGTAGCGGACAATACAGTAGGAGTCTGTTCAGAAGCGCCCGGCAAGGAGCGCATGGAAACGCGATGTGATACGTACAACGATCATGACGATAACGAGATCATGGAAATGTTCAGCGTTCCCATCGTACAGTAGTACGGTGAGGTACTGTACGGTGATACGACGTACGTAAGCCGTACGTAGGAGACCTCTCATCGGTCCGTACAGTATCCGTAGGGGGTGAAGTTTTGGGAGCCGTAG